TTTATTATTTTATTTTTTATTTTTTTTTTTTTTTTACAACACAAGTATCCGTATATATTTCAATAAAACAAAATTACATATTTTTACATATAAGTACAAAACGTACAATTAAACAATTTTTGTACCATTAAAATTTTTACAAGACAAATTTTACCATTAAAATTTTTACAAGACAAAATTCATAATTCTGTTCAGCGCATGTGCGTTGTACAATGTACAAAATAAGGTTTTAAGTGGTATAATGGGTTAATAGCCAGCACTTTATATTATAAACAACTATTCGTTGTTTATAATATAAAGTGCTGGCTATTAACCCATGCATTTAAAAAAATATATGCAAGTCCGTCGTACCACAGGGCTACTAAGGACTTGCTTGTGGACGTTGTTGAATATATATATATATAAAATTATTCTTAAAAAATAAAATTATAAAATTGCGAAATCTGGAAAAGAAGAAAAATACGAACTAATACGCACACCTCCGCTCCATCAAATGCACCCATGGTAACATTAAACAAACCACCTGATTTTTTAATCTAAACTTGGTCATTGGTAAATAATAAAGGTTTACGCGCGTGGAGAATTAAAGATTTATGATCAGCATCAATGGAAACCTATTGTTCTACAAATTTTATGGAATCGATAAGTAGCTTTTCATTAATAGAAGGGTAAAAGTCAACGATGTCGAAAATAAGGAACTTATAAAAATGTTTGTCATTGATGTTTTTGAACCAATTTATTACATTTTGTGTACTATTCCACTGATTTAATCGCAAAATATTTCTAAGGTTGGTGTTAATACCTGATAAAATATGCTTACTTATTCTACCAACCTCATTCTTAGCTGGGTTAATTAGACGAACAGTAGGATTATTTAAAAAATTAAGTTTATGGTCTTTTAATGTAATGAAACAATTGGAAGAACTGTTTATATTGATTTTGTTGAAAACTTCATGATTTTTAAGAATAATTTTTTCCTTCTTTATTAATGCGATCTTTTATTAAAAATGTTAACGGTTTTTGAATAATATGGCTGATGATTGCCAAATGGCATGAAACTTTTAGTTCCATCATAAAGTTGTACTTTTTTCATTTAAGTTATTTTAATATAATTTGATCTATTTTTTTAAAAAAAGATATTGATCACTCTTAAACAGACAAGAGTTGTATTTCCAGCAGTATACAACATTTATCAATATATATATATATATATATATATGTATATATATATATATATATATATATATATATATATATATATATATATATATATATATATATATATATATATATATATATATATATCTATATATATCTATATCTATATATATATATCTATATCTATATATATATATATATATATATTTATATATATATATATATATATATATATATATATATATATATATATATATATATATATATATATATATATATATATATATATATATATATATATATATATATATATATATATATATATATATATATATATATATATATATATATATATATATATATATATATATATATATATATATATATATATCAAGCATATATTACCAGGGGCGGATAAGGCATTTTTTGGTCTTTGAGATAGCTAACTTCCGGACATGGAGCAAACTTCAAACTTTTATATGTTTATACTTATGTCAAATAAGGATGCTTTGCAAAAAATTGCGATGATTGGAGGTTGGGAACAAAAAAACCCAAAAATTTGTGCCCCCCTGCCCCAAACGTGAAAGCAACAAGTTGATAAAATACTTTTTATACTATTTTTAACTAGACTTATATTCATCGATAAATTTTAAATTTTATAGTAAAATAATTTAGCGCTCAAAAATTATGACCGTATAAAATTTGCAATCCCCTCAAATTGAGATGGGTTAAAACTTTATATGGTCATAATTTTTGAACGCTAAATTATTTTACTATGAAATTTAAAATTCATCAATGAATATAAGTCTAGTTAAAAATAGTATAAAAAGTATTTCATCAATTTGTTGCTCTCACGTTTGGGGCAGGAGGGGGCGCAAATTTTTGGTTTTTTTTGTTCCCAACCTCCAATCATCGAAATATTTTGCAAAGCATCCTTATTTGAAATAAGTATAAACATATTAAAGTTTGAAGTTTGCTCCATGTCCGAAAGTTAGCTATCTCAAAGACCAAAAAATGCTTAGTCTGCCCCTGTATATTACACTAAATTTGGTCATGTCAAACCTTATTGGAAACGTACTGATGTCTACTTTCAGAAAATAACACCTAGGAAAATTTTTTTATTGATCTAAGAAAAAAAATGCTTTTTTGTAAAAACACAAAAGTTCAGTATTTTTATTTATATGCGCAATAAATTATTCCAAGTTTATTCCCAGTAAGCACAGAACGTTTTTAAAACGTTTAAAAAACCTATTAAAACGGTTTTTAACGTTTTCTAAACGTTTTCAAAAACGATCTGTGCTTACTGGGTTACATACCTTAAAAACTTTTAACGTCTTGTTCACAAAAGTAATGTTCAAAACAGACTTTTATTCGATGGGTAAAATGTTCTCATAGCAAAAATAATACTGAGTTGATGGACAAAATGTAAAAATTAATTTTTTGACAAATTTTTGAAATAATTTTACTTCGCAATGTTAAAAATAGACATACCGATGCATTGTTTAAGGTTAATGTCATCATAAATTTTTTTGAAAATTTATAATGACATAATGATGGTTATTTTTATTTTAAATAGCTGTTAAATTATTTTTTAAGACTCATAAAAACATATTAAGATTCGATATTTGAATATATTGTATATTTTTTCATATGAATTACGAATATAAGGTCAATTTTAATATAAGATAAAATTAAAAGATTAATAAAAAATATACGTAATTGAATTTTGAAATGTGAAATTCTACTGCTATAAACAATAACTGAACTCAGCAGTTTTAATTGATACAGTTTGTGATAACTTGGAACTTTGTATCCTTGCTAATAGAACCGTTTGAAGTCGTTATAAACAGTTTTAGAAATTCTGCTCTGACCAAAAACCAAGAATTGTTCCTGATTATTTGTCAGCCATTGATTCCAGTAAAGTAGATATGGACAACTAAAGCATAAACTTTATGAGATAAATTTTCTTTAAACGCAATATATGCTTTGTTGTAGGTACAACATCAAGCTTGGATTTAAGAATATTTTCTAATGTTTTATGTTCTATAATAGCTTTAAACACTATCCTCCCTTGAACTGGCCCCAGTGCAAATTTGGCTTATTAAACCATGTTGCTTTATTCCACATATTCATTAAAACTAATGTTTCTTTTTTGGACACCATTTTATCACTTATATTATACATACGGTTTGTATTTCCAAAAAATATGTGAAGCTCCATTGAAAAGAAAATTTCTGAAATAGGTGTATCATCTGGTAAATCTTGTAATTGATTTTGAACACAATTCTTGAATGCTGCAGTAGAGAATTTTTTTTCTGTTTTGCAAACTCTTTTGTACTGTTCTGCATTATCTCTACTCATACCAAGTTTCCTGAAAAAAAACCTAAATTAAAATCCTGATTAAAAATTTGACTGTTTAATTGTGCAAAAGAAAATAATTTTAACAATGATAAACCAATTCCTAATTACCATGTATGACCACAGATTGTGAAGTCTTTCATGTCCTTCGTTTACAGTTTAAACCAATTGCAGGGATGAGTAAAAGAACCTGCTTTAATTCCAAAATAAATATTAGAAAGCTTTAAGTTAAATGCTAAGAAATACTTCTCTTTCGCAATTCCCAGTTGATCTTTTACCTGCTTGATGTTGTTGGGATTCCCTTTGACATCTTGAACAATAGCTATAATGATAAATTTTTTAACTTCTCTAACATCTTAATCTTGTCATCTATTAAACCCTTTTTGAATGAAAATTTGGTCTTAGGTCCATTTACTTTACAATCAAGAATACTTAAACAACCCTTTAAAAAATCTCCTTCTCTATCTATCCCAACCTTTACAATACAATCTGGAAATCATTCTCTATTTTCGAAAAGTTGATTGATTAGCTCAGATACATTTTTGCTGTATGCTAAATGCTTTGTTTGCATATCAATTTGAAGATCTGCACTGTCAACAAAACAACCTAGAGCAGAGTCTTTAATCTCGTTAAAGTTTTTTAAATCTGATCTAAGTTTTTTTTTTAGGTGGTTTTAAGTTCAAAAACTCCTTCCCTTTCCAGCTCATGGGAACACAACAACCAATTTCTGTTTGTGAATCACTTAACCCTGATACATATTCAAACATTTTAAACAAGGTGCCTGCTAGTGATATTGCTAGAAAAAAAGTGCTATTGACTCTTTTTTTTTTGGGAACTAATTCCCAGATTGTATTGTAGGTTTAACATTAAATTTGAATGAGTTTAAATTTGCAAATTAGATAAACAATGTTAATCTTGGTGCTTTAACAGTTTGTTTTCCCTAATCCATAATGGTAGCTATAAAAATCCGATTTGTCACGTGACCTCCGACTCCAAGAATGTTGAATAAATGACTTAAAATCACCACTACAAAAGGCAATAAACATGTTTCAATTAATCCGAATAATGTCTAAAATTAAAGAAAGAACTTTGTAACCACAATTTTTTATTATTTCAACTACTTTTATAGTAATGTCTTTTAGATAGACAGCAGTCATATTTTTACTGAAACAACATCTTTAAATGATACTGAACAACAACTTTGTATGATGATAATAAAGAAGTTATAGATGTTTGTACTTTGACATGCATTTTAGATAAAAACCAAAAGCCAGAGTATCAGGACTATATCGAGGTTGATAAATCAATAATATTTTCTTTGTTTACATAAAAATACTAAACATTTATGAACATCTGTAGAATATTCATCACTGTCTTTAACTTGTTCACATAGATTATTTAAATTACATAGAATTGTTAAAACATAATCTGAACTAGACTGAAAATTTGTGTTAACAGTGGACAATTGAGTCAAATAAGTAAGTTTACATTCATCGTTAAGTACTTTAGCCACAAAACTGCTGTCTATCTTCAAATTACAAGTAAACGCTCCAACAAGTAGGTTATTGTAAATATAAATTCTATTGATAAATAAAAAGGAATGTTAGGAAATAATGATGGGTAAGCATCTTGTGTTAATTTTGGTCTTTTTTTTTAACACGTATTACATCATCTCAAATACATTCTCTCAACACATATTACATCCTTTTATTGTATCAAGACGAACAATAAATGTATGAATGAGATATTTTTTCACACAGCAGTTTTATTTGAAGGAGCTAAACTTTCTCGAGGAATTCGTCGAATTCCTCGAAAAAATTTCGCTCCTTTAAAAAAGATGAACAATGAAAGATTTTAGGATTTGTCGAATTATTCAACAAATCCTTAATTCTTTAATCTTTGGATAAATTCATAATAAACTGCATTGAAAATATGAAAACTAAATCTTCAGAAATAGATAATCGAAAAATTTAACATCGGACTACTAAAGTGACGTCATAAGAGTTTTTTCATTTCATGAGCGAGCCTTCTACTTTAGAAGGCTTTGATTATTCTCGTTATTCGGATTGTATTCCGCCTTTAAGTTATTGCCGGTTGGTTATAAATTGTTTTGGTAACTCCTATTTTTTATTATATCAATATTGTTATCGTCTCGTCTATTGATTGTTGAAAATCAAGAGTTAAACATTTTTATTCCTAACAGCGTTTCTTGGAACTTTTTTTTATAACTTATAATTTTTTTAGATTTATGCCCAATAATGTTGAGTACAACCAAATAATTACTGCTTAAAAGTGTTATTGTACACTTTATTCTTTGAACTATTTATTATTAATTTTTTTTGCAATAAAGATGCAAAATAATTTTATTCGAAGGTTACTAATAATTATTTTGCACTTTTTGCACCACAAACGAGCTGTTAAGGAAATCATTTTTTAATAAGGATTTTTATTTTTTCTGTAAGCAATTTAAATAAACGTCAAATTTAAATGTAAAACAATTTTATTCCCTTCCTCTCCACATAGTCATAAGAAATAGATAATAATATCTATGATAATAATCTTATTTCTTATGACTATGCTCTCCATAAACTTGTTAATTAAGATTCATTATGCTCTCCATAAACTTGTTAATTAAGATTCATTTTTCCATATTGCACAAAAAAATAAAAATAAAATAAAATAAATGCGCTCAAAAAAAAAAAAAAAAAGTTAAATCCACAACTCGCAAACTTGTTAAAAATAAAGACAATGTCATTATTATGAAACATCATTATTCATGATGTTTAAAATATTATTAAGTTTTTATATTTATTGGACATTTTATATTGCAAAATAAGTTTACAAACTAGTAATACAATTTAAAACAACTTTAAAATATATCTATAGTTTTAATTGTTAACTTTATAGGTATATTTTATGGGTAACACATCTTCACAAGTTTCAGTTGAATCTATTGATAACAAGATAAAAAATGATTGTGTAGTATTATTCTCAACAACTATATGTGGTTATTGTGACAAAGCCAAGGAACTATTGAATACTATGAATATCAAATATAAATGTATTGAATTGGACAAAATGGAACCACCAGAAGGTGGAAAATTAACATTTGAACTTATGAAAAAAACTAATTGTAGAACTGTTCCGCAAATCTTTATAAATGGTTCTTTTATTGGTGGATATACTGAGCTTCTTGATTTACAAAGAGTTGGTTTGTTGTTTGAGAAGTTGTCAAAATGTTCAAAGCCATGTTTTTAACTTTATTTGTATATTGATGTTTTTGATTTAATGAAAACGGAGATAAAAACAAATTTGATTTTTTTTTAATGATTGATATTTAATTTAATATTTAAATAAAACTTAATAAAATGAGTTTAATTAAAACTACTTTTAAATAGGTATACTATTTAAAAGTAACGTTTATATTAATTTATTTCTGCATATGCGTTATTTTTTTATGCACAATTGTTATATAATCAATGATATTACTACTTATTTATAATATATATTTATACACTTAGATTATTTATAAATGTACAGTGGTTGGATATCAGAAAGGCGTTCAGTAGAAGATGAATGTGGTTGTTCTAGTGTTTTAAATAGCTATCCCCAAAATGTTGGGCGAGACGTCACGTCCTCAATCATTCGTAGTTTAGTTTTGTTACCTAATGATAAAAAGGGTTTTTTCAAAACAACAAAAGATCTTGAGTGGACTATGGATGTAATATGTTATGGTTTAACAATGTCCTTAGCAGAAGCAGAAATGATCAAAAATTGTGTTTTTTTATATTTAGAGTGGATTACTGTGATGTTGCTAAAACCAAAACCTGGAATACCTGTTCAAATTATTGAAAATAAAGAACATTATTTTTCGGTGATGTTAAAACATATGGCAAATTTATTTATTCCACGTGAAAGCTCTGCAACTTTTGTCCAAGCTTCATTTTGTGTGAAAGTTTTACAAAATGTTCGAGAAATTGTTGAGGAAGGTCATCTTAAAAAGGCCTCTCTTGAAAATGTATTGCGATTTTATTTAGGAGTATCTGGCCACTTATTATCTGTTCCACCAGTGCAAGGTGGTCTTGCAGAGCAATTATGTGGAAAACTAATTAACTGTCTTTTAAATGTTTGGCTTCATGCTTGTTGTAATAATTTTCCATCACCTCCACTTTGGTGTACTCTTGCAGAAATGGTTTTAACATGGAGACATCATCATATGCTCATTTTACAATGGAACAAATTGATGTTTTCACTTACATGTAAAGTCCTTATGATTTTATATGGGCCTGATTATCCTTTACCTAGTTCTTATAATGATGAAGATCCAAAGTCAGAGCCAGTTAACCTGCCATCAAACATGTCAAACGAAGTAGTGGTGCAGTGTTGGCACAGATTTATGCATATTATTGGCAATCCAGTTGATCTATGTAAGTATGAAGAAATCAGCAATACTGAGCAATTCAGACTATACAACTCTCAGTTTGATAGATTACCAGAATTACATCCATCATTAAAATCACTACCTGATAGTTTTTATAATATTATGAATGGTATATCTGTTATGGTTAGCATGTTTTTGGGTGCATCTAAGTGTAATGACCAAATAAAATCTCCGCAGACTTTCTATAGAGGAGAGAGAAAATTAACAAGTATCAGTGTTAGTGAAAAGCAAGTTGGCCTCAAAGACACAAAAAAATCTTCAAGTAATGTTTTTAAATTTGATTTGTTTTAGAATAATTTAATTTATTATAGAGTTTTAATTTGTCATGGATTTTTTTTATCATACAGTTTTGAAATATCGACAAATACTAACAACTATTTATATAAATTTATTAAAATATGCAATTTGACAACAATGTAACAGAATATTAGTTTTTATTTAATTTTTTTAATTTCAAATTTATAAAAATTTTGAACTTTTGGAATAAAGAGAAATAAGTTAATAATGGTGAGAAAAAAATAATTAAAAAATCAATGGATAACTTTAAAATAATCAGTTTATAGTAATTTAAAGTAATTTTTATTTTTTTGCTCTAATCTCTTTAAAGCCAAAGAGGCTACTACAGTTGAGTAGTGTATTCATTTTTTTCTTCTGCTTTTATATTTCATACGAGCTTTGATTCTCACTTTATAATACTATCTATGTTTGCTCAGCATTTCAATGTCATCAAATGTTTTATTTTAAAATGTTGCTGGAGGCTTGACAAAATGAAATATGAAATTAAACTTTCTCAATTTTTTATAAAAATTGCTTTTGATTAAATAAATTTTTATAAAATACACAGTATTTTATATTCATTGACAATGTTTTGTTTTATTTATTTAATTTTATATTCATTGGCAATATACAAAACAAATTTATTTATATCATTTCTCACCAAATCCAAAAAAGAAATTTGCTTTAAAAAAATGTCTGAATAATTTATATATTTTTCAATACTACAAAAACCTAATTTATGTAGTTTATATATATTAGGTTAGTATAATACTTTTATTAGATTTATTTTAAAATGAAACATGTAAGTAAGACTTTTAAAGCATTTTTAAATTATCTTGATTTTTATAGAGATACTGTACCTTTAGATACTATACATATAGAGTTTTATTTATAATGCCAGCGTCTTTCATTTTACTTCGATGAACGCATTATAAAAGTTAATTAAAATTAAGTTTTTTATGGCATTCTTCTACATGAGGATGTTGGTCACCTAAAGGTTTGTCCACAAATTACTTCATGTGGTAGGGTCACTTTATTATATATTATGTATTTTATAATTTAAACAATATGAAAAATTTTAAAATTTTATCTAGTCTATTTATTGCTACATTTTATTTTTCTCTTATTGAAATAATGTGATTATTTATAATTAATTTCAATAAATGACAATATCAAAAACAGATATTTGACAAACTGTTCAATTTTTATTATAAAATATTAGTTTAGTTCAGCAATAAGGAGTTGCTTTATTCTGGTTACTTGCTATAGCCTTGTTTTAATAGCTCTACACAATCCTAATTTACAAATATGTTTGTGCAGTTAATAATTGTAAGCCTAATGTTTTCATGATGAACAAAGTAGCCATTTTGTTTTAGAACAGGATTAATAATGCTTAGTTCAACAGATAGATAAAGCAGGCCTTGCGATGAATAAGAACTGCGCGACGCATAAGCACAACGTGATTTTTGACGTCATTAAATTCTTTTTATTTGCTTTTCATATTTATCGACATAAACTGCACTAATTTACTTAATTACCGCAAAACTACTTTAAATCGTTTATGTAGAAATGTTATTAGTTAAAAATGTTTTGGAATGTTTCATTTTTTAAAATGTAAAAACATTTGTTTATTTTCTCGACGTTTGTCACGTTTTGTCTATACTAAATGAATAAAAATCATTATAACTTAAATTTAAAAAAGATTATAAAATATGCTAATATTTGATTTTTTTTTTTCTTAAATATGTAATTTAAATTTTTTCAAATAATTATTTTTTCTTTTTAAAAAGTCAGCGAGTAATAAACTGGAAATTTTAATATTGTACGATTAAAAACTGTGCAATAGCTAATATTTTTACAAACGATTTTATATAATATTTATTTATTTATTTTTATTTATTTTCATAAAGCGGTTGATAAGCACAATCACTCATTTTAATAAAAAACTTAAACGAACGTTTTGAATAGATTTTTAATGTTAACAAGGAATTTTATTTCTAGTAAAATAAAATAAAATGTTAGAATAAAAGTCTTATAGGTATAAAATAAATATTTCAGCGAAAAAATTATTCTTAAAAATTATTCGAAAAACTATTGACGTTCTATTTTTCAGCAGCTCTTCTTGAGCACGCTTTGTTGAGTTTTGGTAACTTTTAACATAAAAGCGATCGTTATTATTTAAGTAATTTTTTTGACAAAAATTTTAATTACTGTACTTTTTTATTGAATCAAGTAGAATACGTTTTAATATTAATCCTTTTTTTTTTTTTATTTGCCCTCACCATTTTTTAAAATGTTTCCTCAAAATTACTCTTAAATACTTTAAATACGTCTAACAGTTAATAAATATTTTTAAATCTATGGAATAATTTTCAAACCCCTGTAAAATAATTATTTAAGTTTAAAATCTAAAACTAAAAGAAAGTATTTTTGTTCAATTTTATCGACAACGTTGCTATTGCTGAATAATTTTATTAAAATGTTAGCTTAAAAGATTTAAACTTTTTTTTAATTTTTGAATTTTTTCTACTTGTAAATAATGAGCATATTTAATTTTTTTAAATTCAAACTTTTATTTCAACTGCGTGCGGTTTTTAAAATACTTTATTAAATGTTAAAATAATCGTAAATTACTTTATTAAAATTCCGCTCAAAAATATCTTTAAATATACTCAAACAAAAAATTTTTTGCTCGACGCAAATAGCCCTAGCTACACGCAAAATCGCTCTTAAACGACGTAAAATTCACATCGCCCGACGCTTTATCGCAAGGCTTGGATAAAGTGACAGATTAATTGTTTTTCACTAGTGCAAGGCACCTTGCACTAATGCGGTAGTGGTGTAGTGGTAGAGCGCTCGCTTCCTAAACGAGTGGTTCTGAGTTCGATCCCCACCACGTCCCTGGTAGTACCGCGCTCAACTCGTTTCTCCCCACAGCGGCCTTGTTCATCAAGGTTCGTGTTTCGGAGTTATAGAGTTGAGAGAGGGTTATAACCACAAATAAGTAGCCTCCTCGTCTGTAGTGGCCTTCTCGGCCTTGAGGAGGTGAATTAAAATAAAAAAATTAAAAAAAAACCCTGTAAAGAACAATTAGTCTAAAGTTAAACAAAATTAAAAATTCAAATGAAATTATAAGTGAACAGTAAGTCTTGCTTACAAAAATGTTTGGAGCATTTGTACTATTACACATTTGCTACTAGTTAACAAAGTTTTAGAGCTTTTTTAAAAAATTGTGCATTTATGGTTTGTACAGTGGTTTTCATAAATTTAGACGCACTCATATTTGAGAATAGAAAATTTTAGGTATTTTAACGATAAAACAATGACGAAAAAAGATTTTGGTTTAGTTTTTTTTCTATTTATCAGATAAATACATACAGAATAAAAAAAAAAGTTTACAAAAAAAATGAATTTAAAAAAAGTTTACAAAAAAAATGAAATACTAAGTAATAATTAGGTACAACTACATGGTATTAAAAAAATCAGACAAAAAAAATTATTCATAAATTTAGACGCACGATACATTAGAAGGCGTAATTTATGAACCAATCAATATTTTGTGTATCCGCCTTTTGCTTTAATACAACTAAGAACTCTTCTAGGCATAGACTCAACAAGATTTTTGCACATCACTTCTGGGACCCCATACCAGGTCTCCTTAAGGAATTCCTTCAGCTGACCAAGTGTGGAAATTTGAACCTTTGCTAATTCACGATCAATCCAAGCCCAAATGTTTTCAATCGGGTTCAAATCAGGTGAATATGGAGGCCACGGTATTGTCATAATATTATTATCGTTGAACCACTCCTTTGTATAGTATGCAGTATGTGCAGTAGCGCTATCTTGTTAAAGTTTCCATGGTTTATCATTGAGCATAAGCAGGTCAATTGATGGAATTAGGTTGTTTTCCAGTACTTCTACGTATATTCTGGAGTTGATTCTTCCGGTGTATGTTTGGCACATACCAACACCTTTGTCATTGAAGCATGACCAGATTCCTATCGAGCCTCCTCCACTTTGTACAGTTGGTTTAATGTACCTGGCGTAATACTTTTCGTGAGCCATTCTTTTGACTGTTATGTTAGATTTGCGATTGATAAGCTCAAAGTAACTCTCATCACTCCACATAATGTTTACCCATTGATCTATTGTCCAATACCTTCTTTCACGACACCATTTTAGTCTCCTTTGTTTATCATATGGATGCAGAAGCGGTTTCTTCAAAGCAGTGTAGACTCCAATCTTGTATTTGATAAGTATTCGGCGGACTGCGCTTTGAGAAATAGATGTATTTCGCGTTGTATTGAATTCTGTGGTCAATTCTTTGTAACTAATTCTTGGATTAGCTCTGACAGCTCTAAAAAGAACACTATCGTCCTTTCTCGTGGTTGACAAGGGTCTACCTGGCCTCGTTTTCTCGCTAGCACCACCAGTGTGAAGAAAGTTTTGTTTCGTTGTCCGAACGCATTTCTCAGAAACTCCAATTAACTTGGCGATTTCTCTATTACTTTTGGTTCCTTCTTTGATGTGCGCAATAATTTGCCATCTTTCACCTTAAGTGATACGTCTTTTGCCCATTTTTTACGTTTTTTTAGTGCAAAACTAACTTAACTTTTGTTTATTTATTAAATAATGATTAAATAATTCCAGGTAAGTCATATTTATATAAGGTTTTTTGACAAAATCAATTAATTTAGGCCTATTAATGAGAAATATAAGAAAAAAACTACTAATTAACTATCAATTAACAAGATATAAGACTTTTTTAATTGTGCGTCTAAATTTATGAACAAAATAAAATCAAGTTTATCAATTAACTTTTTTGTGTTAATCGGTATAAAATGAGTAATAAACATCCTGTAAAAAAAAATTAAGGTACTCTATAATAGAGTTTTATTTCCTCTTTTAAATTATATATCAAACATAGCGGTAGCACTTTTATTTTATTTTTATTTTGAGTATTTTCTTACATATATGAAAAAAAAAATGAATGCATCTAAATTTATGAAAGCTACTGTATTTCCTACACTGATAAATATACTAAGGTCACTTAAGGAAAAATTGCTTCTTTCAGACAATCTTAATAAGTGAGTGTTCAATTCTTTCAAGTTCAGGTGTTTTAAATAAACAATTTTATAAAAGTTTACGTTTGATGGTTTTTGTTTGTTGTCTTCTTCTAAAAAAAATATTGGCAGACTTGATATTAAATCAATAGTCTCAATTCAATTCTATGTTTAAGAGTCCTGTAGTCATGTTTCAAAAAAATGCTTTCAAATCAAATTTTATCTGCCTGGAATAAGTTTTAAGACATTTCTAATTAAAAAGAAATAGAAGAAAAAATTGTCAAATTGTGGGTAGGTAAGCTGGACAAATTATTGGATATAACAAAATATTTGTGTTTTCATCAGTACAAACAAAAATTACGTGCTGGTGAAAATGCTCCATGTAAAGAACAATTTTTCTCAAAAATTTGCCGTAGTTTATTTTTTAAGCATTTCCTCTAGATACATTAAGGCACCACAACTTTATTTATATGTTGCAGATCTCGAAGAGGTCGAAGAAAAGTCAGGCTATCATATCAGCATATCAAATGTATCAAATTTACAATTCAGAAAGAGCAAGACAGGTTGAGGGAAGTAAATGAAGTATAACAAATGCTGATCAGTAACTTGATTTTTTTATTTTTTGAAAAAAGAAAAAAATTATAAAATATACTTAATACACAGATTCAAATAACACGCAGAGATGTAAAATTTTAAAACCAAGTTAGATTTTATGAAATTATTTCATTATTATTAAAGCTTAAATTTAGTAAAAAATTTATTCATTTTTCCATCATGACATTTTAAAATTTTATATAAACACAAATTCAGGCAAATCCATCCAAATTGCACCGCAACGCCCCCCCCCCCCATAAGATTTTTTGATGTTTTAGATATGACAAGTTCAGGCAAATCATGGGCATGTGTTCGGAAGTTATGGTCTATAAATACATATAAGTTAAGTTTTCAGCTTAATGGCTCAAATAGCAATGAAAGTGTTATATGTGAAACACTAAAAATCCTGTGGGCGCCCATGGATAATTTTAATTAAAAAAAACTAGCTCTCTTCCTTAATTTACTGGTTTTGTAGCAAAAACTTTTTTTTTATAGCCATTAGCAATTTTATTTATTTTATAAAATTATGTTGTTTGGTAAATTTAACAACCATGTGTTTTAAAGATTCAATTTTGTATCCTTTTAATAATTTTTTTATTTTCACATTACTTACTTTCATGTAAAGATATTTTTAAATTGAATATTAGAAATAGAAACCATATGAACACATAGAAATACCTGCTTCATGATAAAATAACTCCCCAAATTATTTTTAAAATTTTGAATTTTGTTAAAGTATGACATACCCTAATGAACATACATCCTCTGAGAGTTTTGGTTTAATATAACAGTTATTTGATTTTACTTACTTTTTTTGATTATTTAATTAATGCTAATTAATTATTGCAAATTATTTATACTTAAATATTTTTTAGGTTTACCTAGATACTTTGAAAAGTCTAACTTAGCTAAGCTTGTGCGTGATGACATTAATATACAATCAAAGCAAAGTAAAAGGAATGTGGAATGTGTGGTTGATACAAATTCAGTTTTACATATATTTAGTGCATGGTTGTTTGAAACATGCTTGACTGGCATCGACTTAGAAAAAGTGCTGCATACAGTTGGAAAGATAAGTCTTGGATTGCCTTTGAGTTGTCTTGAAATGAGCAAAGATGACAAAGAGCAACACCGAAAGTATGAATCCTGAAATATTATTCTTAAATTTATCTAGTTTTGATATTTATTTAAATTTTTATTTTGAAAAGAAGTATTATTTTGATATTTTTTTTTCAAAAAGAGGTTTTCTTGCCTTACCATTGTTAAATCTGTTAGTTTTTAGGTTTCACTCTATTTTCTATATGTTTTAATCTTTTATCCCAATGTTTTAATGTCTCGAAGGGTATTAGGACTAGGTCCCTACAAAGCGCTACAAATGGCAGAAATCAAAGACTCTTGAGAATCTACACCTAGTACAGGTGTAGATTCTCAAGAGGTACTAAGGATAGGTTTTTAAAATGAAGTGTAGATCCATAAGATGTATTAGGTGTAGATTTTGAAGAGGTACTTTTTTCATACTTTGTCAAAATGATCATTTACAATATGGGTTTGTAATGTTTCACCAATGTTATCAAATTAGTTTTTGAGATATGGCTTTTTTAAAATCAGATGTTTTAAGGAAATTTTTTTTGTTTGACAGTCATTTTATTTATTGAATGTCAATATTAAGTGTTATTATTATCAATTGTTAATATTAATTGAATTTCATTATCAAGTGTTGTTACTATCAATTGTTAATATCAATTGAGTTTTTTATCAGTTGAATTTCTTGCAAACTGCCTATAATTATAAGGAGTAGCAAAAATTAAAATCTAATTAAGATAAAATTTTATTTTTTTAATTACTGATAAAAAATTAGTTACTTAAATAATACTAATGATTTTACAGGCTTGGTCGGGAAGCGGGAGCAATCGCTCTCGAATACTGACCACGGAAATTATATTTAGTTGCGAAAAACTGGCCAGGTTTTTTAGTCGTTTGAGAACATTTAAGTTTCTGTACGAAACAAAAAAATTTTGTTTTACGGACTTACATGGAAACATTATAAACTTGAATGTTCTCAAAACATCTTTGTGCAAAAGAATAAAAAGAATATTCGCGAACACTAAAAACCCGCCAAATTAACGAAGAAACTAATTCTCTATTGGTTTAAAAAATACGCTTAGTTAGCGAAATAAAGTTCTAGAGTATTGTTGAAATGTTTTAGAAAATGTTTTAGAAACGATTTGTTACATTTTGAGATTTCTAGCATAAATTGTTTTAAGACTAAATATATTATTTGTTTACAAAAATAAAATTTTTAAATATATATTAAATTGTCAAAATGTTAAAATTTTATTATAAATTATAGATTTTATTAGTATATTATTATTTTTTATTTAAAAAGTATGTATTCTTTATGTAAATTTAATTTTGTTTATCTGTTTTTTATCGTAATGTATCTTTTAAAGCAATTTTTACGATTTAAGCAAAGACTTACAAAAATAATTGCGTTTTCAATGAAGTTATAATCGTTATAGTTAATAAAACTAATTATGTAACAAACACAAAAGTTTCTAGTTACTAAACACAAACAACGCGTACAAAGTAACTCGCAGATAAACAACCACCGCGCCTGAGGTCACGACATAACAAACATTTATAGCAAATAGTTAAATACAAAAAAAAGTTTCTAGATATTGGTTTACAAACTCTAATTATTTTCGTTTAAGTTGCCATTCTTAAAACTTGTTTTTCTGCTTTAAATACTAATTAAAATTAAAAAGCCCACTCACTAAACATCATCAGCGATATTGTGAAGCAGTTTCGCTTCCTCTTAATTAAGTATGTTTAACCTTTTTAGTTGATTTCTATCTTGTTAATTTAATTTCTAAAGTAACTCAATGATTTAATTATTTCATTTGTTTATCTCACTTAGAAGAATTGCTTCAAATATGTTAAACTTTTCAAACTACGCGAAATATTATACTACAAATAATATAATATATACTACAAAAAATAGGTATTAGAAAAATTAACTTTTTTATTTATAAAATAATTTAGCTTATATAAAACTTTTTTAATAAAAAATATTTATTTCCTTTTTAAACAATCGCAAGTTGTTACATATATAAAAAACATCGCCTAATTTTATAAAAAAAAATTATAAAAGAGCGATGTTTCGAAAATATTTGTCTAAACGTAATTTATTTAGCTTTAGATTTTTTTTTTTTTTTGTAATTGTCTCTCATCGGTCCAATTAATCTTTATCGCTTTTTTTTTTTGCTTTCAAAAATGCTCTCAAAACGACTAAAAAATCTGGCCAGCTTTTCGCAACTAAATATTATTTACGTGGTCAGCAATCGAGAGCGATCGCTCCCGCTTCCCGACCAAGCCTGATTTTACCTTTTATATTGGTTTCATTTAAGTCAATTCAATTTTTTTTTAAATTAACAATCTGTTGCTCAAGTTTAAAGATTTTAGGGTTTTAATATTGATAAATAAATTTCTGTCTGAAAACCTTGAGATATATCTCAACCTATGTGATTTATTGTGTACCATTTTATGATAGTGGTAATCAAGTACCAACTGTAAACAAATTCTTTTCCATTTTAGATATACTATTTTTACATGTTTTTTTGTTCTAATTGAACAGTTTTTAATTTAGTTAATTTAGTTTTTAATTTAGTAACTAGCTAGGAAGTAGGGTTTCTAACCCGGATATCCGAATATCTGATCCGGATAATCCATTATATTTTGACTATTAGAAAATTTGGATAATTTCCATTGAATATCAGCCAATATAAATATTTTTTGATAAATTAAAATATTGTTTTCCAATGGCGGGTAACTTAAACATAGAGTTAAAAAGATGGAAAGTTTAATTTAAAATAACAATCTTTCAAATAATTAAAAACTTCATTTTATTTTGTTAAATATTAGTTTATTTTTTTCTGCTCTTTGTAACAATTGTTTGTTGTAACACTTTATAGCTCAGTTGTTTAAGCACAATGATTTGTGTCAAAATTACATGAATGTAATGTTAAGTAGGAAATTGTTATTTTTATATTTATATATTCTTTTAACTTAGGCGTTTTGGTTATAAATTAAATGTTTTTAACATTCTATTTTCTAATTTTTTTTTTTTTAATTTAATTTTAAGTATAATGGTTTTTTTGTAATATTGTTTTAGTGATTTTTGTTTTCTTGAACAGCTTTTATCTTTTATTAATTTGCTTTTATTTTCTTTTTTTGATTGGGCTGATAACTTTATGAATATTATGGAATTAATGTTACACTTCATGCCCTTGTTGATAATTTAATGAAAAAATAGAGTGTATATATTGGGGTTAGTTCAAATAAATAGTACACATAATGCTGAATAAACAAAGCTATATCTTGAAAATGAGTTAAAAGAATTCGAAATTGACATTATGTCAGATATAATATCATCTACACACGATGGAGCCACTGTTATGATCAAGGTATTAGGCATCATATCTCAACTTTGTTATAACTATTTACCAATAACTGATATGTTGTATAAAAAAAAATAATCAAAATTTTGTAAAGAAAATCAAGAAGTCACAGATTATGTAGATTTTAACAAAGATAGTGAAAGCAAATCTCTCAAAAGCATTTATGATGAGTTGAATACAAATAGTTTTGAAGATGCTAGCATAATCTGTGAGATAGGGGAAAATATTGAAATCATAGATCTCACTGAAGGTTTTCAAGAAGTTATAAAAAATCTCAGAAGAATTATAAAAATGATAAAATAAACTACATTTTACAAGGGTATGTTAGTAAACAAGCAGGCATGAAATTGCAGTTGATGTTAGATGTCAAAACTTGGTGGAATTCATTGATAACCATGCTCAAATGATTCCTTCAAATAAAGGATCCTATAAATGAAAAGTTGAATATAGTTATTATAAATAAAAAATTGAGTATTTAAATAACTTTAAAATCTGCTGCCCACGGCTGTTTCAGAGTGAGCTTTACGGCTTCTTGTTTTTTTTTTGAAAATTTTGACTTAGATGGGTGTTACTAAAACATTTATAACTTTTGAAATATTAGAGATAATTTTGTTTTGTAAAAGGAATAAAAACAACAATAAAATGTTTTATCATACGACATTTAATACAATAGTAAACTTTTTTTAGTTTATAAAAAGCGCAACAAATGATGAACTTGGTTAAATTTTAGTAATTTGTTGTTACTTTTTATCAAAAAAAAATCTGAAAAATGTATTTCTGATAGTTATTATCAAATATGCTAATTGTTTAACTATTATTAAAATAAAAAAATCTTACTTAATTGTTAAAGGTAAACCGAAACAGTCTTTATTGAAGTCTTCAAGCAAACCGCATTTTTTGCAAAATTATGAAAAATGTCGTTAAAGGGGGGATTGGCTGTTAAATGAGCACATTTTTGAATCTAGAAGTTCTTATTTTAGAAAATAATTCACTAAGTTGATAAATTCAATGCATTAAAAAATAAAACCAGATTTCGATTTTGAAATATTTAGTCTTAACATTTTAAGCTAAAGCCTTTAAAAAACTTTAGCAATTCTTTTTTTATGCATACAGTTTTAATAATATGGTGTTAGGTTGTTAATAAATAAAGACTTTAATAAAATAATTCATGACCAAAACTGACTTGAAATTTTTGAATTAACCTCGCATTTGGTAATTTTTTTAATTATTCTATGGCACTTGAATCAATCTTTTTTCACAAAAAAAAAAAGTTTCTTTAAATATACAAATAGCTAATTTAAATTGTTTGATAATGTGTTTTTATTCTCATAAAAAACTGTTTTATAATGAGTTGATCCACTACTAAGTTCTTTAAGTAGAAAACAATCTTTGAACATCCAGTTGATAATAGATTTATGCACCATTCTAAAGAAAAAACCGCCTAACTTTGTTTATTTTATACAAAATTCATCTCGCTAAGAAAGTTGTTTTCATAAAATTTATTACATATTTGCTTGGGACATACAGAATTTAAGGTCACGTGATTGTTTTGAAATGTAAACAATGTTTTGCGCATTAAACTTGAAAAATTTGTTTTTAAACTAGCCAAGTTTAAAAACATATTTCATAACATAGCTAGAGGTACAGCAAACAATTTTTTGATTTTTATATGCAGAAAGGGTTGAAATTTTAATAATTTGGTGCGGATTACAAAAATAATACAATTTTCATTATTTAATAATATAATTAAAAATATAAATGCATTAAAAAATAAAAAATAAGCAATCTGCACCAAAAAAAAATTAGATAGAATAGACATTTATTTATAAATGTTCCAAATTTCAACCATAAGGCATGTAGCTATGTTATGAAATCTTAGTTGACCCAAGATAGGTTTTCCGTAAAAACCACAAAAAACAGAAAAGTGATCCCAAATCATTAGCAATATTTAAACATTAATATTTTTATTCCATTTATTGTAAATATTTATTTAAAAAAAAATGATAGGTCTTTTATATTTTTTTAATTTGAAGATGAAAGCGCTTATAGGAAAAAACACTATCATTTAAAACTTAGTGCATTTTGAAACTTTTTTTGCGGAAATACTTTTTTTTTTGATAAACACAAAAATAACTGTGACGTCAAGCTCGTTTTTATATTGAGTGAAACAGCTGTGTGCCATTGCATTAGCAGTAGAAGTATTTAAAAGGATTCTAGTGGTGACAGTAGTGACATCTAGTGGTGACAGTAACAATACTACGCACAATGAGGAAGTTGTAAAAGAAATTGCAAGTGAAAGTATGTTAAAAAGTCAAAATGCTAATAATATTCTTCAGCAAAAGCTGAAAGCAGCGATTTCCTCAATTATCTATGCAGAAAAGCAGAGCAACATAATTACTACATTGTTGAAAAGTGTTTTCAACAACTACTAAAACAAGAACAAATAACTTAAATATTTTCTTAAATGCACTTCTAACAAAAAGACCAACATCTACTGCAAAAGAGCATGTTTTTTCAATTACAGATTTAACAAAAATTAAAACTCGCTTGACACTTTTAATGCAATTATTTTTTTAAATATGCATTTTTAATAATGAAATAAATTTTAATTTTATAGTCCTTTTATTTTTTTTTAAATTTGAATTTTCAATGTATATAACTAAAATACTTAGATTAAATTTAATTATTGTTTTAAAAACGCTATGAGAGTAATAAATTCAATCTATCATCTTTATTTTCTTTTTTGTTATATCCTTATTTATCCAAATAGTTTGACTTTTTAGTATTCAATATCCCGATCATCATTAAATTCGGATAATTGGAAACCCTACTAGGGAAAAAAAACATCAGCTGACCAAATACCTAATTAATACTAGTTCTTTAGTTTCAATTTCAGTTGTTTTTTTCTGTTTTATAACAATTTTTGTTTCAGTACAATATCTCTAATATTCGCACCAATAATAAAACAAGTTTTAACTGTTATATTTTAAACACATTTTATATTTTTTCATTTACATCATTAAGTCTCGGCAGGAAGCGAGAACTTTAGCTCTTGCATTTGCCCATTCTCCCCTGAAACGGTTTACGAGAGCTATTTACGGCTCTCGCAAAAGTATAATTTTTCTCATAAATGTATAATTATCATTTTAAATAGAATAAAAAACACAATGTCATTTTAAAAAAGATAATTGCATAATATACTGAAATGCTTTTTAGAAAGCACGGTTGTTGCAAAAAAAAATTAAAATTAAAAAAGAGCGCTGATTTAAGTGAGGAGCAGCTCGCACAGCTCCCGAAGTTCATTTTATGGAAAGCTTTTCTCTGCTCTCATACTCATTTATTCCCGCCAAGGCCTGCATCATATATAGAAGTGGTTTTTGTAGCTGTAATTTGATGCAGAAAATGCAAAAGCTCTTTAAATAAATCAACCTTGCGATGTTGTTTTGATTACACACAATTAAGGCGCAGTTTGGTGTGAAATGAGGTAATTAATAAAAGACCACACAACTAAATATACCATTAATATCTAAAAGGAAGCAGACATTAAATAAAGGTTTCTTTATTGAATTTGTGAAATGATTTTTTTTAGTTTTTCTTTAGTATAAATGTTTTTAATGTCAATTAAAAAAAAAATGAACACATACCCACATTTTACTCACAATTATATAATATCAATACAATTATATAATGTCAAAATTTAAAATAATTAAATTTAAAATAATCACAATTATATAATGTTAAAAATATAATACTTGCTTTCAAGGCCTTTTTTCATGGTCTATTACATTTTATCAGACTATAGTTAATATGCAATCAATGTTGTTTTTATGATAAGTTATCTTTAAAACTATACTGAAATAAATGTTTAGTATGATCATAATATATATGTTTGTACATTAATTTGTTAAACAAAGACAACATTAAAAATAAGATGGTTGCTGAACAAAAAAATCCACTTAACAAAAAAAGTGACCATATCTGAAAAACCAGTTTGATAACAGTGCAACTATTTCACAATTTATTTTGTATAATAAAGGTGATTTTTTTGATAAAAATGTAGAAAATCAGAGATAGTAGGTTAAAAGCCTGTCCAACTTCCTTATGGACTAAGGTAGGTTTATGTTTTGATTATATTTCCCACTTGCTTATGGGCTACCCTAAATGTTTATATTTTACTTAAAGTAAAATAATATTTTAGTTTTTTATTTATTTTTTAGTTTCTTGCCTGTAAAAAAAAATGACTTTGAGCCTGGCAGAGCGCAAACATTCTGCACTCTTTGTCATATATTTTGTCGTCAAAAAGCAGTGGGTCAAGCTATTCTTCCTGTTTACTTATCTAGATTCTATTTATGTCTGGCTGTTGGTCTTTGTTATGGAGAGGTATAAGAAATTAAATTCAAAATAATTATATTTTTAGGAAATTAAGGCAATGATTGTGTTTTTTTAAATTTCAATATTTCTGATAGCAAATCATTCCTAATCTTTTAAGGTGTTTTTTAATGATTAAATATTAAAAACATTATATATATATATATATATATATATATATATATATATATATATATATATATATATATATATATATATATATATATATATATATATATATATATATATATATTATGAATAAGTAGATTTTTGTTTTTAAATATCTCTTAATATAGTATTTACATAGGCATGGGATTACTAATAATGTTAGAAAAATGTTCCTCAAACAATTTAAATGTCAAAAATATTTAATGGTGTCTCAAAATGTGTTTGTAGTTTAATATTTTCAGCAATTTGCCCAAAATTAAAATATTTTGCTGCATTTTTTTTCAAAAAATGTTCAATACTATTGAAATTTAAAAAAAATAGATAAGAATTTTAAAATAAACCAACATACATTATATTTAAATTTTAGAAAATAAAAACCACTCAAAAATTGGTCTTACTAATTTTTAAGTTAGTTGTTTTTCCATTTAAAAATAAATGTATTTTTTATTTAATGTGCAAATATATTTTTTTTTAGTTTGAAAAATTACTTAAGTGAAGTTTTAAAACAGAAATATGCCCTCAAACTTGTTCTTTGATTACATTATGTTGCATAGACAAACTTCTTTTCTTTTTTTTTTTTAACTGAAGCAGATAAAAAAAAAAAAAAAATCACATAAAATGTTTCGAGATGTCTTGAGCAATATGTCGATCATTACTTTTTTTTTCAAAGCACCAGGTCGATCATTACTTTTTTTTTCAAAGCACCAGGTCGATCATTACTTTTTTTCAAAGCACCAGGTCGATCATTACTTTTTTTTTCAAAGCACCAGGTAGATCATTACTTTTTTTTTCAAAGCACCAGGTCGATCATTACTTTTTTTTTCAAAGCACCAGGTCGATCATTACTTTTTTTTTCAAAGCACCAGGTCGATCATTACTTTTTTTTTCAAAGCACCAGGTCGATCATTACTTTTTTTTTCAAAGCACCAGGTCGATCATTACTTTTTTTTTCAAAGCACCAGGTCGATCATTACTTTTTTTTTCAAAGCACCAGGTAGATCATTAATTTTTTTTTTCAAAGCACCAGGTGATGATCGACCTGGTGTTTTGAAAAAAAAAGTAATGATCGACCTGGTGCTTTGAAAAAAAAAGTAATGATCAACCTGGTGCTTTGAAAAAAAAAGTAATGATTGACCTGGTGCTTTGAAAAAAAAGTAAAGATCGACCTGGTGCTTTGAAAAAAAAAGTAATGATCTACCTAATGCTTTGAAAAAAAAGTAATGATCTACCTGGTGCTTTGAAAAAAAAAGTAATGATCGACCTGGTGCTTTGAAAAAAAAAGTAATGATCGACCTGGTGCTTTGAAAAAAAAAGTAATGATCGACCTGGTGCTTTGAAAAAAAAAGTAATGATCGACCTGGTGCTTTGAAAAAAAAAGTAATGATCGACCTGGTGCTTTGAAAAAAAAGTAAAGATCGACCTGGTGCTTTGAAAAATAAAGTAATGATCTACCTGGTGCTTTAAAAAATAAAGTAATGATCGACCTGGTGCTTTGAAAGATAATTAACATTGCTATATTGCTCATGAATGTTGTCTCTGTTAGCACTTTGATGTGCATTGTTTAGGCTTTTTTTTTTTTTTTTTTTTTTAATTTGCATTCACTCCCAACAAAGCTGCAAGCAACCACTATCAAGTTGGGAGTTACTAGGAAAAAAAGAACAGAGTTATAGAGCAAGGAAACGGTTGACAGAAGACTTGAAAAGTTGAAGGTTGTATGAGTCAGGAAAACTTGAAGATGGGAGAGAGTTCCAAAGGATTGAAGTGCGGGGAAAAAAACTAGATGAATAAAAGTTTTTAGAACATGCAGGGACAGATACAGTAAACGAATGAGACTTAGCTAAATGACGAGTAAAACGAGAATGAATTTTAGTTGATGGAACTTGAGATGATAACTCCTTTGAGCAGTGACCATGATAGTATTTGTAGAAAAGAGAAAGAGATGCAATTTTACGACGATGGGAAAGAGGTTCAAGCTTAGCAGATAGTCCAGGTCCAACAACATTTACAATGCGTTTTTGGACCTTGTCAAGAAGAGAAAGTGAATCGTTAGAAGAACCAGCCCAAATATGACAACAGTATTCCATACAGGGACGAATAAGAGATTTGTAGAGGTAGAGAATGGAATCAGAAGTAAAGAAATGGCGAGCATGATAAAGAGAAGCAACCTTAGCAGAAGCTAATTTAGCAATCGATTGTATATATGGTTTCCATGAAAGGTCAGTAGTAAGCAATAATCCAAGAAGACGTAAAGAGGAAGACTCAGTAAGAGGATTGCCATTCATTAATATAGGAATGTTGACCATATTACGGTAGTTGTTTGCAGTAAGCAATTGGGTTTTTTTAGAGTTGAAATTCACAAGCCACTGTGAACCCCAATCTATTACTGAAGTGAGATCAGATTCAAGATCAGCTGCTTGTTCTAGGCGATCGAAAAGAGAGGACTTTTTGTCAAGACAGGAGTATAAAGTTGAGTCCTCAGCAAAAAGAGCTACTTTAGATAAAAAATTGTCACGAAGATCGTTTATGTAGATAAGAAACAAAACAGGGCCCAGGTTGGAACCTTGGGGAACCCCAGAAGTTACTGGAAATAAAGAAGAGTGTTGGCCTTCAAGGATGACTTTAATAAACCGGTTAGGAAGAAATGATTTGATAATCTCAAAAACTTTCCCAGAAACACCATATGAAGCAAGCTTATGGAGAAGACCAGCATGCCAAACTTTGTCGAAGGTTTAGATATGTCGAGAGCAATAGCCCTAGCCTCACCGCCTCCATCTAATGCACGATAAAATCTTTCAGTTACAGCAGTTAGCAAGTCGGCCGTAGAGCGAGAGGATCGAAAACCGTATTGATTGTCTGACAGTAGTTTATTTGACTCAAGATGAGATGTGAGGAATTTGTTGATCAAAGACTCAAAGACTTTGCTAATAACAGAAAGAAGACTGATCGGACGATAATTGGAAGGGTTAGAATTTTCTCCAGAGTTTTTGAATATTGGAACCACAGATGCCATTTTCCAACAAGCAGGAAAACAAGGCTTAATAAAGAAACTTACCTTAAGGAGCTTTTTATTACAAATTTGGCTTGATTAGCAGGAATGAGGTAACTGCTTATTTTTTTCTTTGAGTGTCATACACTATGTATATAATTGAGTCAAGTTCTCTATATTAATTAAAAATGTGAGTAAAGGTACCTAAAAATATTTAAAAAAATATTTTACCACTAAATTGTTACAATCTATTCTTTACAAATATTCCCAAAAAATTCCAATATTGCAAAGTAAATATTCCAAATTTCCGAAGTTTATTTTTGCAAAGTGCTTTGCAAAAATTAACTTTACAAAAAATATGTTTTTTGTAAGATCATCTTTAGATATTAGTATTAATTGCTAATTCCTTTGATTTTCAAAAACTTGAAGAATGTTTGTTCTGGGGATGTAGTTATGTATTGATTCCGGGGATGTACTTATGTATTGATTCATTTGAAATCAAGTTTGAATCCTTCAACTATTCTTTTATGTACTTTTCACTCACTCAATCAAATTTTTTATTGTTTTCCTTCTTCCAAATACTACAGTTTTTTTGATGTTGTTTCTGATCAAATTGACTTACACTTTTCTCTATTATTGTTGCCATTATAGTTTTTATTAGTGATTTGAATGCTCATCACATGATTTGGATCTAGTACCATTTATCCTGCTAGCTCTAAAGCTCATTCTCTTACTTAAATGTTTAACTTTTCCAGAAAATCCTAATCACATAATCTCATTCCTTAATTTGTGTCTTGTCTCTGTTACTAAATTATGCTTAGTTTTTCCTTGTTCTATTTTTAGTGGTTTAAATCATGCTATGATCTCACTAAAACTTTCATCTAGTCTTCTTCTACATCAAATCTAACCTCATACTATTACCTTAAAGCTGACTGGGATTCTTTTTGTGTTTTTTTTTGTGACCATCCTTGGCCTGATGCCTTTTGTCTCTCTTTGGGAAAATTAAATATTCTTTTTTGATTTTCTGGAACCAGGCAAGCATAGGGACTTTTTATTTTTATTGTCTGTTTTAAATTAAGCTACTATATTCTACTCCTTTCTATTTTCTTTCTTGCTTGTTCAGCTGCTATTTCTAGTTGTTTCTTTCAATTTTTCCACAAGTTTTTGAAAGAACTTGTGTCTTTTTATTATTGCATGAAATTGATGCACTCTTTCATTCATCTCAGATTAAAAAATTTCTCATTGATTACAAAATCGAATTCCTATAAGTTAGAAATTAGGTTCTAAAGACTTGTAATTTTCTAAAGAATTTTCTTTTAAAGAATTAGGTCTCAAAGAATTAGGTTCTAAAGAGTTGTAAAATCTTTTGTGTCATTAAAAAAGTCCATTTCTCATACATGAGTTTGATCTTATTATCTTTTCCAGTGATAAAGCAGAAGTATTTGCAAAGAGCTTTAAATCTGTTTCATTTCTTGAACCTAATGACCACACTCTTTTTGTCATTTCTGAGAAACAGCTTAAGCCACTATTAGACATCCAAATCATTCCTGCTTCCATTGCTAAAGTTATTTTAAACTCTTCTACAGCTTGCGGTGCAGACAACATTCTTGTCATAGTCTTACAAAAGTGTTCTTTTGATCACTCCTTATTACTATCCAGTTTAAAAAATTTAAACAAAAAACTGCTTAACTGAATTTTGTTTTTCTCAAAATGACATCTGATTGGTTCTTATTTTTAAAATCTCTAGAGATTGCTCTGACCTCTCTAACTATTGTCCAGACTTCTTACCAACATATTTTCTAATATCCCATCTTGAGATTAACAACTAACTCTCTGACAATCAAGATTTTGTTTCTCTTGTTCTGCTGCTGGCTTGATAACTGTTGTAACAAAAGTTTTAACAGAGGGATTAGATAGAAGCAGTGAGGCCATTGGTTGATATATCAAAGGCTTTTGATAAAGTTTTTCATGCTGGTGTTCTTCTCCATAAATGTGCTTCATATGAAGTGTTTGGAAAAGTTATTAAATTAATTAAATCCTTTCTTATTTCTAATTTATCTGTTTAATTTTTTTAATGTATTTATTAAATATCACTGTGCAATAGAAAATAAAATCAGTTTTTATCTTTCAAATGTGTAAATAAAAAATATTTTTTTGTTCTTTCATTAAATATAATCAGAAATTTACTACGAGAGACTGGAGTAGAGAGAGGCTGTAATGTAAAGGGCCCAGGGAATATTAAGGGTGTTGTTTTTAAAAATACTAAACAAGGAATAAATAAAATAATTAACTAGTTAAAGTAAAAAAAATTATATTATTCGTTTAAATTAATTTTCTAAAATTTAAAGAGTAAAGAGGCAGCAAAATTATATGCATATAAAATTATCCGATATAGATGGTGATCTTTCTTTATATCAATAAATATTTAGTTTTTTAAAAAATTTAAAGTGGTGCATCAGCTCCCTTCTCTTTCCTCTGTAAACTTACCTGGTTTCATAAATACTTATTTTCCTACAAGTAAAACCTTTTATTTAATTTAATTAGAGGTACTAAAATGATTGAAATTAATGTTAAAATGCATAACTGAATCATGTTTAAAACATGTGGCTAAAATTTTCTCATTTAATTTTTTTAATTTAGACTCGTGCTGGGATGGTATTAGGAAGCATCTTACTTTCAGCAAAAGATTTATTCAAGTTAGACTTGCAAGGAGTTCAAGTGTTGGTACCTCATGTATTGCAAGCCTTAGAAATAGTACTCCCTGTACCTGATTCAGAGCTAGCTCTAGGGTGTGTTGAGAAATTTGTTATTATTATTATCATTATTATTGTTATTATTGTTATTATTATTATTATTATTATTGTTATTATTATTATATATATATATATATATCAATGTTTTTTTCGAGTATAAAACAGTATTTGCCGTAAAAACGTAATGTATATATACATATATATAGGCTTGGGCAGGAATGGCGTGCGATCGAGCGCTATTGCTGACCACGCAAATGATTTTATTTCTTGAGAACTTGACCACGATTATTTATATGTTTTGATGATTTAACTATTTCAGAAATGCACTGAATGTAGAAACGCTAAGTTAAACTTAAACTTGGAAAAAAGTTAAAAAAAAAACTAAATTCCTATGAAAAAGGAAGCGAAAAAAAATTCTTTATGAAAAAGAAATTTTATGAGCATTAAAATGAAAACAAAAAATAAAAACTTAAACTCAAAACGAAAATTTTTGTTACGTTTTTAATTACATTTGAAATAAATCTTTTTAAACGTTTTATTAAAATTACGCAAAACGCTTTTAAATTAAGTAACAAATTACTACTAATGATGTATTTAATATGTAATTAATAAAGAATTCTATTTAATATTTTTAAATTGTATAAACATTTATTTTTTGAAAAAAATGCAAAAAAAATTGTTTAAAAAAATAATGTATTTTTTTAAAATAGTAATTTTTAATAATTTCATGCTCTAAATAATGTCTAGTTAAAAAAAGGTTTCTAACTCTTTTATTCATAAAAATAGGGAAAAAAAAAAAATTAAATACAATGCGCCTGCGATTTAAATAAAGTAAACTGCCAACAAGCAATTTAATTTGAATTTAATTTGAGCATTACAACTTTATTAAAAAGCGCTTCACGTAAAGTTACTTCACGTTACGTAAAGTTATCATAAGTTTAATATAAAAATATAATATAATGAAAATAATAATATAAAAATTAATTGTATGAACATTACAAAATTCTTCAAAACTTTTCCATTAATCAACAAAATATATGCTTATATAAGTTAATAAAGTTATTTTATATTCTTGTATAATTCACATAAAATGTGTAAAAGCTAGTAGTCACAAAAGGTTTTGAACTTATTCAGAAATTAAAGTAACTTAAAGTTACTTTAATTTCTGAATAAGTAAAGTGAAAAATCTTTCTAAAATTAATGCTTTAAAAAGATTTTTAGTAAAAAAATAGGAAAATAGTTTCAAATGTTTAAATTTATCTTGAAAAATACATGCCTACATAAAAAAAATTAAATATAACATTTTTTATTAATTTACTCACGTGTTTATTTTTTATTAATTTACACATGTTTTATTAATTTACACACGTGTAAACAATCATTAAAATAATTAATTGTATGGTTTTATTTTAAAGCCTTTGCATAAAATAAAAACTTTAGGAAAGATCAATGATTAAAAGTTATTCATAATGTAACACTTTTTATTGCATTTGAAATGTTAAAACATCAATTTAGCTGTGGTCAAGTTGTAAAGAAAAAAACTATTAGTGTGGCCAGTTACAGAGTCCGATCGCACATTACAGAGTCCAATTGCATGCCATTCCTGTCCAAGGTGTATATACATGCACAGGCCTCTGCGGAAGTAAATGAGCACGAGAGCAGAAAAAAGCTCTCCTAAATTTTAACTTAAACTTTAATTTTTTTTTTGCAACAACCCTGCTTTTTAAAAAGCATTGCAGTATAATATGCAATTAGTTTTTTTATAAATGACATTGTATTTTTTGTTTTAATTTCAACAATAATTATACTTTCGTAAGAAAAATTATTCATTTGCGAGAGCCGTAAATTGCTCCCGTAAACTGTTTTAGGGGAGTGTGGGCAAAAGCGAGAGTTATAACTAACCCGCCGAGGCCTGCATACATATATACATACAGAGTTTGCGATTATCTTATCTTGAGATAATGTTTTGCAAGAGCAATCATAAGATTCAAAAATTGGTGAAGACTGTGCTCATAAAAAGTTTTCTATTTGCTATAGGTTTTTTTATTAACAAATATTTTGAAGTAGTAATTATAAGTATAAAAAACAGACCACTCATGACACCATGTCAACAAAGTAGTTCTTTATACTACCCAACTTCTGTATATTGTTTACGTCTGATCATGATTATTCTTAAATATTTTTGGTAAAACAATATTGTGATTATATTGTCTTTTAGAGTTATGAATAAAAAAATAATTTATAACATAATTAATTCAAAAAAATTATAAACGCTTAGGTAGTGGTTGCACAAAATGCTATTTATCAGTGGTACGGATGTCAGTACCCAATGCAGGTATTCAAATAATAATGAGCTTACCATGAGTCGTATAATACAGGTCATGGTAAGTCTATTCTGCACTGACCCTTTCTATATTTATTCTTTATATAGTCATTTTACTTCCATAATTTCTAGTAAGTGGTAAAAAAATCTTTGTTTTGAGTTAACTATTAATGTTCAATACTTTATAACTTCTTTTTGTAAAATTCTTAAGTTCTATAAAAAAAAAACGGGTACAGACTATGAGCTGTAATCAGTTTTGAAGAAAATTATTAGATAGTAATTTTTCTTGCCCTGTTATTTAATTTTGAAGAAAATAGTTAGATAATAATTTTTCCTATAAGAAAAAGTTGTCTCTTTAATTTGTGTTAAATTTGCAAACTGATTTTAAATCTTTGATCAAAAAATTTTTAACATCCTATCTTGACTCAAATAACTTGCTGTAAAACAAGCAGTACAGTTTGCGAACCTCTCGCTCAGTACAGTCTTGCGAACCTCTCGAACCTCTCGAACCTCTCGCTCAAGCAGTACAGTCTTGCGAACCTCTCTACAGCTGACTTGCTAACTGCTGCTACTGATATATCTATATATCTCTCATTCATGAAAATGATCTTATTACCTCTCCCACTTTTTAAAAATAAATTTTAAGAATAAATGCACACAAGGTGTATCAAGAGTTTGTGTCTTCAGATATCATTTATGACATATATATATGTATATATATATATATATATATATATATATATATTTATATATATATATATATATATATATATATATATTATATATATATATATATATATATATATATATATATATATATATATATATATATATATATATATATATATATATATATATATATATATATATATATATATATATATATATATATATATATATATATATATACAGACTCTACCTCACCCCTGGTATTCTTGTGCTAAATTTTTATGTCAAAAAATCTCTTATAATTTAGTAGATATTAAAATAATAGATAAAAAAACTTTAACTTTTAGTTTTTAATTTTTTGTTATCATGTTTAATTTCTTCCAAAAAAGTTTTACTTATTGAATAACACTCAGCACAATGCTTGAATATAGCCTTGTATCAATATTTTTTGCTGTGAAGGAGTTTAAAGTAAAAGTTGATTCAAAAATTAAACTAAGCAATTTTTAAAAATTCTTTTTTGATTTTAGATATGATTTCTCTATTGTTGAGCTGCGTCAGTCTTGCATTCAGATCCTTCTTTCGATGATATGCTTACCATTGCACTTTATGTCATTGCCTATACAAGGTTAATTGATAGTTTGTAATTTATGATGTTGACAAAAGTAAATTTTTTAGTGTTAAACATGCAAATTTTTTTTTCTTTTTTCATTATATAAAATATGGTATTGAATTATATAAAATTGGTATTGAGTCTAGGAACAAAATATGGTGTTAAAGGAGTCTAGGAACAAAATATGGTGTTAAAAGAGTCTAGGAACAAATATTCTATGAATTTTGCTCTCATTGAGTTTATAGATATATAGAGTTTACAAAGGATATGTAGTTAGCATTATTTCAACTTAATAAAAAATAGTTCTTTTTATATTTTAAACCTTGGCATTTAATAATAAATTGTGTTATTTTTACACCCTCAAGATTTTCAGTTATTTATGCAAATTATTTAAGAATACTTTTAACTATTAAGTTCTGTAAATGTACTCAGAATCAAAATAACTTCATGTAACCAGAAACCTCTTTAAATTAGTATAAAATTTGTATTAGTAATTTTGATTGACAGTTTGATTGATAGTTTTAATAGATAGAATAAAGTTTTCCATACAATATCTCCATAGGACTCTGTTGGTGACACAATCGATTTAAGTTGTTGTTAGCTGTTGTTGTTGTTAACTAGATTTTACTTTGTTAAAACATTTGCTAAGACATAATTTGCTTATTTTGATAAAATATAAGTAATTTTTCATTTGTTTTTTTATCAAGCTTTATGTCAAGAAAAAGTTAATAGTTCTGATACAGCCAACAGCCATTTTCCCCAAATTGCTTTCATTTCTTTGCATCCGCGAGTCACAAGGCTATTAGTTAAAGCTATTGAAGTGGAAACAAATCCGATGAACACTCAAATGCTCCTCGGAGGTTTTATCTATTTGTGTTATAATTTTAGTTTTATGTGATTTTTTATGTTTTATATTTTGTATTATGATTTTTGTGATTTTACATTATGTGCCCTTTTTTAGGTGCAAAATTATTGATGGAAGATGCCATGCAAGTTGAACTGCATAATCATGAACTCTATAGCTCTAAAGCAAAAACCATTCCATCTATTATTTTAGATGAGCCCGAGACTTCTGGTACTTCAAAACTTATTGATTTAGCTGAATCTACAAACAATGATGCAACAACTACTGAAGATAATATTGGGTTGTTAGGAGATTCTAGTGGTAATTTTATAAATTTGTTTGATGTTAATGTTTTATTTTAAAAGCAATTTTTTACTTTACTAAAAAACATTTTTCTTTTAAAAACATTTTTTTATTGTTATGGACAATATATCCAATTAATAATATATTTCGAATGTTTTATCTATTTCAAAGATTTAATGTAAGTATAATATATAAGTTTAGAAAGCTTATTTTTATTTTAATCATAGATATTATGACAACCAAAGGATTATTTTGCTCCATGTCAGATCTTTTGTGTCAAAAATTGATGTTTGCTGGAAAATGGAGAGGTGACCTTGCTGTAACATTAGCTGCTTTAGAGTTTTTATCTGGCATGGCACAACTTAATATAAAGTTTGTAGGTATGCTATATTTTTGTAAACTTTTTAACTTGGTGTAATTTATAAGTTTTTTAACTTGGTGTAAGGTAAACACCAACTCTATTGAATGTTTAACTATGATTTTTATTGGTTGCAAATAAATTTACTAATCTGACAGCAATGACAGGATGTTTTAGGCATTTTAGAATAAATGGTAAAAATAAAGGCATCTAAACATGCAGAATAAAAAGCTGGGCTTACCATTGACTAGTTTTAGTTTCTAAATGAATTTAAAGGGTGAATAATTTACCAGATTGCAAAAATTTTGCAGAAAAAAAAAATTTACAAATATAGCAAAGTTCACTAAAACTCTCTTAACTAACATATTTTGAATATTATTTATATAAAACAGATGTTTATCCAGGTAACACATTTACAGGATAATAGTTCTTACTATTTTGTGCCAAAAATAATATATATATATATATATATACAGTGGTGTACACTGGATTTTTAGATGTTTGAGTTTTGACACTTACACACATTTTACAAACTCCAAACTTTTGTATGTTCATACTTATGTCAAATGAGAATGTTTTGCAAAAAGTTGTGGTGATTATAGCTTGGGGACAAAAAAACCCCAATTTTCGGGGTTTTTTTGTCCCCAAAACCCAGCCCTTAAGGTGGGAGCAACAAGTTGATAAAATAATTTCTTTAGTATTTTTATCTAAGTTTATATTCATCAACAAATTTCAAATTTCATGCAATAACCTCTTAGTTTTTAGTTTTTATGACCCTACAAAGTTTACAGCCCCCTCAAATTGAGGGGGGTTAAAACTTTATATGGTCATAATTTTCGAAAAATAAAAAATTATTGGATGAAATTTGAAATTTCTTGATGATTATAAACTTAGATAAAAATACTAAAAAAATTATTTTATCAACTTGTTGCTCCCACGTTAAGGGCTGGGTGGGCTCGAAAATTGGGTTTTTTCAAGGTTCAATCCTTGGTCCTATACTCTTTTTAATTTACATTAATGATCTTCCAGATATTCTCACATTTGAGGTGGCATTGTTCACTGATGGCACTACCATTTATTCTTGTCATGATAAGAAGCCAACACTCTCTGATTGCTTGGAAGGGGCATTTGAACTTGAAAAAGATCTCACTTCTGCTACAGCATGAGGATAACATTGGCTGGTGAACTTTAGTTTAGATAAAACTCAATTTTTTTCAGCCAATGGTTATCGCAATAATTTAGATCTTTCTATATTTATGAACGGTGATGTACTTGATATAGTCATCTACCCTTCATCTTCTAGGATTAACTCTTACTTCTGATCTTTCTTGGAAACCATATATCAAATGCATTGCAAAATTAGTATCTGCTAAGGTTGCATCTCTTTATCGAGCTCAACACTTTCTTTCTCTGGATTCTATTCTTTATCTCTATTAATCTCAAATCCGGCTTTGTATGGAATACTGTTGTCATTTCTTCTAATGATGCCTTTTCTCTTTTAGACAAGGTGCAAAAACGCAATGTAAACATAGTTGGACCTGTTCTTGCAGCCAACCTCCAACTACTATCACATTGTCGTAATGTTGCTTCTCTTTCTCTTTTCTACAAATACTGCTACAAAAAAACTGCTCTAAAGAGCTAGTGTCTCTTGTGCCATCTACTAAAATTCATTCTTGTGTTACTCGTCATTCAATTAAGTCTCATCCTTTTTATGCGACTGTTCCTAAGTGCTCCAAAAACTCCTATTCCTCTAGTTTTTTTTCTTGAACATCAGTTCTTTGGAATTCGCTTCCTTCATCTTGCTTTCCTGATTCATATAATTTGCAATCTTTTAAGTCTTCTGTCAATCGTTTACTTGCTCTACAATCTTTATTTTTTCTCTTCCATTAACTTTTAACTTTAATAGTGGTTGTTTGCAGCCTTGTTAGATGTTAAAAAAAAAATATTTAACAAATACATTTTTGTCTTCATATCAAAAAATTTTACTTTTTTTTTCAATCACACTTTTTAAATTTTTAGTGCTAATTTTTTCAAATCAGTAATAAAAAATCAATCATATATATTTTAACTTCTAAAATTGAAACTGCTGATTAAAAAAATCGAATAAAACCAAAACCACAAATATTTTTGTCCCATAAAATATTTAAAAAAACTAAAGCGTTAAACAAAATATAGAAATGCTAAATAAACATTTAAAATTGTGAACAATTTCAAAAAAACAAAATGTTATAATTTTAAATGATAAAATAAGAATGTTCTCTCATTTTAATTTCTGCTAGTTAAAAAGTTGATATGAACTATAGAGATAAAATTTATTAACTTCATAAATTGTCTAAATGATAGAAATAATGTAGATTATAGACTCTATGTTTTTTATATAGAATATTTTTATATATCAAAATCAGTAAAATAGTTTAATCTTTTATTTGCAGAAGCACCACATGCATGGTCTTGACTTAATTATTACCTGTAGGTTGTAGAATCTAGTATCTCATTATTTTTTTTAAACAGAATGAATGGAAGGCTATTTATGAAACTTATTATACAACTGATAGTTTAAACTGAAAATTTAAGTGAGCTGAACAGCCGGCAGTTTTTTAATGGCTTCAGTTCCTTTCAAAAAGCTCGAGCTCTAGTTCCCAAGTTTCCAGCTTCTTACAAAAATCTTGGGCTCTCCCAGATCCTGTTTTGGCTCCCTACGTTTGCTTGGCTCTATTATCTAAAGTTTTTAAAGTAATAGAGTTAAAATTGCTTTTATCTCATCTTAAACTACATTAAATTTATTTACAGGTTTTTAATTTTATTATATATAAAAATTTTTTATTTTTTTTTATTTTTCAGCATGTAGTGTTTAAAATTTATTGAAGAATTTTTTGTTTAAAATTTATCAGAATGTAGTGTTTTTTCAAAAAGTTGAATTAAAACAACTTAACCCACCAGAAAGAATCTGTTAATCTACCTTATTTATTAAAACTATTAGATGTATTATTTATTAAAACTATTAGATGTATTTTTTATTAAAACTCTTAGATTATTCAAGGTTTAATTCAAGCCAATAGCATCATGTATCTTGATGTCAGGATTACATCATGATGTTATATAGCTTATTGTTGAGTGAGGTGATCTCACACATAGAGTGTTGCAAAGTTATTTGACACCATATTTAAAGTATTACAAGAGTACTGTAATACCATGCATAGAGTGATATAGATAGATACATTGAGTTTTGACAATTAAGATATCAAGTGCACACTATGTTGCTAACTCAATGAAATTGTATGATTAGTTTGGGATATTATTACAATTACTAAATTTTCTTTTTTCAGATAAAAAAGTTGCAAGAAAAACATTGAAATGGCTTTGTGATTACATAGAGTTTCAAGCTAAGCAACCTCCTCCATCACATTCTAAAGATTTACATTCAGTTATAGTTGCAACATTTTCTTGCATTAGTGTGTGGGTTGTTAGTCACTCTTGGCTTCTTGATGATAATGTATAGTAAAAAAATGTTTTTTTTTTTTTTTTACAATATTAAAATTAACAACATTAAAACATATTTTAATTAATATAATGCAAAATATGGTGCAAGCAGTCTTTATCACAAAAATATGAAAAAAATGTTTTATCACAAAAATATGAAAAAAAAATGATAGCTATAGATAATGAACAATTAATATTATATTGAAAGTCTAACAAGCCATTTTTTTTTTTTTGAAGCAATGTCTTACTTCAGTCATGGAGGTGATTGAGTTAGGAATTTCAGGGAATAAATCAAAAGTAACCTTTTATACTTATATTATTTGTGTGTAGTTAAAGAAAAAACTTAAATATTTTTTTGTTTTCTTTGTTTTCTTTGTTTGTTTCAAAATTGTTATAAGATTTCATTTAAAAACCTTTTTTTTTAAATCTCTTTTTTTATAATTGTATAACCTTCAGTTTTTTTTTTGACTTTTTAAGTATAAGTTTATACACTTTTTTATCAAAACATTTTTTGAAACACATTAGGGTCGGTTTGCAGAAGTAACTAATGTATTAAAAGGTTTCTTTTTTTATTTCTTTTTGATTAGCAATTTTCCATGTTCCTTTAAAATCTCCATTTAACTTTTTTAAAGTTTATTATTAATTTTATATTTCTTTATTTATTAGGGGATAAAGAATTGAAACCAGTTTCATTCAGAGTTCGTGAATCAGCTGAAGCACTACTTGCATTAATAATGGAACATGCTGTAATTATTTTTTGTTTTAAATTTAAAAAACTATTTTATTATAAACCATTCTTATCACAAACTTTTTTTAGGGTTAGGGATAAATTTCTAAAAAAGGTTACTTGAGTCTTGTGGTTAATCATATCACTTTTATCTAAAAAATTTCTTTGAATGTTTTATTCTTACAATTAGTATAACCTTTAATTCTCTTTTGTCTCTGCCCATCAAAAAATGTTATTTAAGATTTATACTAAGATAATATTTGTAAGTGAAAAGATGAAATTTATAGAGCAAGATAACAGTTAACAGAAACAATTTAAAAGATTGCAAATTATATAAAGCAGGAAAACAAGATGAAGGGAGCGAATTCCATCTTCAAACTCAGGCCACTAGTTGGTTAGGAATGATGATATGATTTACAAGTCCCAGCAGCTTATAAAATTCTGTATTTAAATTACCTATAAGTCCTGCATTCTTTTTTGTGGGAATCCAGCTAGTAATTTAGTGTATAGCAATCTTCTAGAGAGCTCAACATGTGATTTCTAGCAACAATAATGGTGTCCCTTCACACCAGGCACAGGAATATTTTCCTCTGTGAGCCTATAGTGTTTTATGTAAAGCTCCTGATTTACATTTTATCGGTTAGTACATGTGTTCAAATAATAAAAAAGTATCAATTTGGATTATAATATATAATTCCAAAATTTTCAACAGTATGTTGATGAGTTTTATGTCTGCTGCCAGAGAATATTTGCAGTCATGCAGATCTCGACAATTTGCTATAGGTTGATCTCAGGTCTTGTCAAGAAGCGTTAAGCTGCATATTGGAATTTAAGTGTTAGGCTGCAAATTTGAATTTTACTTAAAAAATGGCAATTTGTGTACAGATTCAGCAACTTTATGCCAAGCAAAAACTTTTACCTTTTTGAATGTTTTATCAAGAAGTATTTTTGTTTAAGAGAATTTTTTTCATAAATGGATTTTAGTTTTTTTGTTTTTTATCAATTCAACATCATGTAAGTTGTTGTAAGTTATGTTTACAAATGTCTTACTGGTAACTGATTTTTTTTAGAATTTTTTCTTAAAATAGTTCATTAAATACTTTAAAACAAAAATAAATAGACAGCTTAATTATTTTATGTATAAGATTGTTTTAAGAAATAAATTATAATCTTTTTCAAATGCTAATTTTAATTTCATCAGTAATTTTTGTTATATTTACATTGTCTAAAGTATTTTTAAAGTTTAAAATTGTGTTTAATTACAATGCAATACTTCAAAATATGCAAATGATGCAATTTAACTTTTAACAATATAAATGTCAAAGGTGATATAAGTTATATTTATTAGCCTTAATCATTAGTGTTATGCAAAAAAAATCTGGTTACAAGGCCTGTTATCTATATATGCAAGACAACTGCTCAGGGTCAAACATTTTGCAGATTATTTTCAATCAACCTCTGCCTAAATTGTATCATAATACATAGAATTTAGGGATGTTTTACTAAGTACTAAATTAAAAAAATACTCAACTTATATTTTTATTACCTGAATCAACTCTAACTCTGACAAAGGTACAATAGTAATTTTGTCCTCTGAAACAAATGATAAAGTTGTGAAACTTTGTAAAGTCTTCTATGTAAGCAAAGTCTCTCGTAACTATCTTTGTGAGCTTATTGCTTATCTTTTCTTCAACTATAACTTATATAACTTTCTATAGTCTTTACAGCATAAAAATCAGACAGGATATCTCATTTAGTTTTGCCTCCATGAATGATTCAAATTTAGTACTACATTTTCGAAGCCCCTTGATATGTTTTGAAATTGAGGCGGTTTTTAATCTATTTCTCCAGTTTCAGGTTGATGAATATATATTTGAAATCTTTGAGGTAGAAGTAGGCACAAACCAGTCTCTGATTGTTCCTATGGCTTTTCTTACATATTTAGAGAGTATACATTGCATGACTTTTAAATTTTTCATACTAGTTTTGTAGATTTGATTCTTGAGTTTTGCAGATTATCTATTTTAAACAAATCAGTTAATATATTATTCTAATTTAGGTTTAGAATGTGAGCATGAGAAGACAGTACAAACCAGAATAAAAGTTTATTTGGCATACAATATTGTAATTACAATATAGATAGATGTAAACAATAAAAAAGACAAATATGAATATAAATATTGAGAAAACATAAAAAATACTTCTATGCTGCTATAGCAAAATCATTATTTAAAGATAAAAATATACCTAATTATACAATACAACAACAAATATAGAGTGGAAACCAAATCTAAAATTTTTGGGTTTTTTAAGTCTTATAGTATAAACAAACTTATACACATTCTATTATCACCCTCATTTTTGATTTTAATACTGGTTAAAGAAGCTAACCCTCATTTTTGATTATAATTCTGGTTTAAGAAGCTAAGCCATTTAAAATCCTAAAAAAAAAAATTTTAAGAGTATTTTGCAGATTTTTAAATTAAATTTTCTTAAAAAGGCCCACTCATTTTTTTCCAAAGTCCTATACTTAAAATTCATGATATTAGTAACCTAAATCAATTAAAACTTCCACAGTTATACCATTTTATACCTAAAATGCATATTTGTAAACTGTGTATCTATAATTCATGCTGCTTAATTTGTCTATTTAAAGTTTTGTAATAAAAAAAAATAGTTTGGCATTTAATAATTAAAAAAAATCATCTAATCGTTCTGTTGTATAAATGAATAACAAAATCAAAAGTTGAATTTTTTTTATTTTTTTTGTTTTTGTTACTCAATTCAATACATTTATTTTTATGTCACACTTGAAGAAGAAATTATTTATAACTTTAAAACATTTACAGTAAATTTAAAATTTGAAATCTCAGTACAAATCTGTTGGTTGTTTGTCCAATCAAAATAAAAAAGCCTTACATTTGTAGTGCAAATATTTTAAAATTAACTAATTTAATTTTAAAGTTGTTTGTATATTTACTTTTTAGAATAGTCACCAGATTTAAACAAAAAAAAACCCTGAATTAAAAGAGTTACATGAAAAGAAATCCTGATAAAAAAAAATAAAAATGCCAGACTTCCAAGACAAGGATGGAAACAAGATTTTTTTCAAAATTACATCTGAAAAAATGAGAAAGTTTCGAAAATGCCAGAAAGGCAGTTCCACTGTGAAATTGAATCACTCATTATTTGCAAATATTAAAAGAAAAGGTAAAAGAAAATATATGAAAAAAGTTTCTCATATTCTCTGAAACATTAATAAAAGTTTTTTAACTGAACTCCTTTTCAGTAAAAAGCTCAACCAAAATCTTTTTAAAAAAGCTATAAATTTTTGCAGATTTTAAAATTTTAAAAAGCCAAGTTTATAAAATATATGATATTAGTTACTGAAATCCATCAAAACATTTTATACATAAAGTTGCATATTTGTTAACTGTGGGCAAGAATAAAAATTAATTTTTAAAACTTAAGTTTTATTTTTATTAATATAAAATTGAATTAAGTCCACTAAACATTATTTTTTAAATTTTCGGAAAATATAAAATTAATAAATTTTCGGAAAATATTCAAATACTAGTAAAACATTACTTTGATATTAAAAAAAATTTCTTCCTTTACTTTAAAAGCTGTAAATAGCTTTTTCTCTTTTGCTTGTATGTATTTACTTTAAAAGCTATAAATAGCTTTTTCTCTTTTGCTTGTATATATTTTCTTTAAAAGCTATAAATAGCTTTTTGTCTTTTGCTTGTATGTATTTACTTTAAAAGCTATAAATATCTTTTTCTCTTTTGCTTTTATGTATTTGAGCAGAAATCTTTTTTTTGTTTTAACTTTTTAAAAACCACATGCAAATAAATTTAATGTAAATATTGTTGCTTAGAAACCACTTAAAGTCACAGAAAAAAAACCAAAGAAGATTTAACTATTTATTTAATTAGCGATGTATATAAAAATGTTATCAAACAGAATAATATAAGATATCAATTTAAAATTCTACGATATATTAAAATTTACAAAAATAAATATCTAAACTAGAATTTAAAATCTCATTCATATGGTTTATTATTTAAGAATAAAAACATCCTATTCCACGATTTCAACCCACAACTTAGCTTTTGTGTATCTCGTCACATCCATTAGACTACAGTAACCTAATGATTGCAGAAATATTAAAGAATGTTTATTATAAAATATACAATTTTATAACGAACTATAGAGTTGCAAAAAATAATACTAAATTATAAAAATTAAAATTTATAAGAAATTAAATGTTAAATTAAATTAGTTTTCATTAAAAATTAGTTTAATAAAAGCAGCTGAGAAAATTTAAAACATTTTATTTAAACGACAAAAACATTTTCAAGTGCGAGGAGAGAAGAGGTTATAAATTTGTTACATTTTTTAATAAGAGGGGAGAGTCAGTACAGAAAGACAATTTATTACTATGAGGTCTATAACTGTCAAAAATTGTGGCATAATTTATGGATGTTCAATAAAGCAATTACTATACCCCTATGTGCAATACTCTTTATTGTTCAATAAAGGGATTAATATACTTATCAGATATCTTTGATTTTTTTATTCAAATTTCCTTTATTTACTAAAAATTGCTTGTTTGACCACCTAATCCACTTATTACACCACATTCTTGCTGATCTCAGATTGTCAGTAGAAGTTTTCTAACAGCTACATATCTGTATTTAAAGACGTTTTTCATGGTTTTTGCTCATTGTTGGTAAGTTTGCAATAACTTAACTTTGGATTGGCTCCTAATTGATAAAATTTAAGACAGTTTTCAGGCTCTGTTGTTATTTTAAACTTCTGGACCTTGTTTGTCATTGGAATGCTATCTGTTCTTTTAAATGTTTTAAGAGTATTTCTAATATAAAATGAATTTGTTATTGATTTGTTAGCTGAAGAGAAACAGTTTTACTGTTGGGCAAAAACAAAACAAAAAAACAAAAAAACAAAAAAACAAAAAAAAAAAGCAATTATGAAAAATATGCAAAAAAAGAGGCAATTATGTTTACTTTTCGTTTGACAAAAAAATAAACTATTTTTAAAAAAATAGGGAGGAAATTTTTGTTTTTTCACTGTATGTATGTCTATATATACATAAAGTATATATATAAATATATATATATATATATATATATATATATATATAATATATATATATATATATATATATGCATGTATATATATATATATATATATATATATATTTATACACTCTAAAAAACGTTGTGTTAAAACAACACAAGCTTGTGTGTTCCGCAACACAAAACTTTTGTCATATACAACACAAGACGATGTTAATTTAACATAATGCCTTGTGTTAAACAAACAACACAAAGCATTGTGTAGAAATTTATGCGTAATCTTGCGGTTAATCGCAAAGTTAGTTTTTTGTTTATTTTTACTCATAAAACACGTTTTAAAACATATTTTACGCAGCAATCTTGAACTAAATGACTAAAAAAAGTTGCGACGATTTTTTAGAGGAGGTATGCTTTCATTTTATTGAAAGTTTGTTAAGAAATAGAATACAAAAGTATGTTTAATAATTTCATTTTATCATCTGAACAAAATTTACATCATATATTAGTATATACTTTATCCATTTATTTTAAATAATATGTTATGTTTGTAGTTTGAAATATATTTTTAAAATTTACTGAAAATATCGTGCATATTATTAATTTATAGTTTCACATAAAAGATTTGCAGTAAAAAAAAATTTCAAAGAAGAAGATAAAGGCTAAAATTACTAAAATGTCCTAAATTACTGTCTAAAATTTGTCAGCATCAGTTTGAGGCTTTATTGTTTCTGAATATACTACATATCAGATATCTCTTCGAATAATTTACGTGCTTTAGTGGACGCAACAGAACCAGGCAGTTTATAAACTAATTTTTGAAAGAAATTGTATAAAATTTGTAGTTGCTTTGGATATTCAAGATTAAATACAAAAAAAACTGACTTGAAAAGACAGTCAAAGGCAACAGAAACTTTCGAAGGTTTAACTATAATTGCTTTTCCATTGCATACAACAAAAAAAGACGATCCACACGACAAAATGAACGGTTGCTGTTTTGGATTTGAGCGATTAAGGAACATCTCGAGTGTCTCGCCGTCCTGAAAAAAAAAGTATGCATTTTTTTTAAGTTTAAAGTAAATCTAATCGAACAAAAATTAAACACAAGTAAAATAACGAGATAAAGAAGATTGAACAGTTGTTAGTATAATTAAATTTAATACTTATATACTAATGGTATATTAATAATTTAAGAAACAAATGAGATTTCGAAATAAATCTTACCTTTAGTTCTTCAATTAGGAAAAGCATTGCTGCACCTGCTGAAACACGATATTTTCCCATAGTTGGCAAAAGATAAACAAGGGCTTTTAAAGATTTTAGTACTAATGCATCTAAACAAAATTAAAATTATAATATCATTTATATAGATACAAATATAACTTAATAAATATAACTTTTTCGTTTAAGCTTTTTTGGAGATTATTTACCTGTATTGCTGTTTCCTTCAGTATCTATGTCACCTATAATGTCAATGCATTTGCCAGGCAGCCTGCAGTATGCAATTATTTGTTTCGAAATTTTTGTTTCCAATAAAACTGGAATATTTTCTACATAACTTCGATTAATGGATTGGAATTCATCATTTAACTGAATAGTACAAGCAAATGTTACAAATTATTTTAATGCAAATGTTACAAATTAATTTAATGCAAAAATTGAAACTACCCCTCAAAAATTTGTCTACCCAGGAATTATTTTTTTTTTTACCAACAATGGAGTGTCCATAAATCTTGGAAATTCCTTAAGTATCCTATTAGCTGTCGGAAAATCATTTCGGATCCACAATTGCCTGCATAAACGTGATTTGTTCATCAGTTCTACAATCTCATTTTCATTTCGGTCTGTATAAATAAGATACAACAATTTTGTCTTTATTAAATCATATTCTTTGTTGCTTATTTCCGCTGGGTCATCTCCAACAGCAATAAACCCATCACCTAATAGTAAAAAAATATTACAAAACAAATAATATTTTACAAAACACATAAAGTATAAAACTATAAAGATAAAATTTATACTAAATTACATTATGTATAAGCCCTGTATTATGTCCTATTTTTAAGAAAAGATTTCCAATTTTAAAAAATATGGTATTAACATGAGCATTATAATATAAGCATAGTATAAGCATTAAAAATGTGTGTTAAAACTTTTTATAATTTTTTAAATATTTATCTATAAAAATGTGTTATGAATTTACTGTTAATAAATGCTTTATAAAATTATAAAATGTTTAAAAACGTCTTTTTAAATAGGTTATAGAAAAATACTCGGCAATTAACTAGGTAATAAAAAATTAACATACTCTTTTTACTGCGAGAACGGTATTTTTTTACATCTGCTGGGTAACAACGATAAATTTCTCTAAAACGGTTAGTGAGAAAACCCTTTGATGTACCTGGACAGTAGTATAATTCCTATTTTTTTAAAATAAATTATATCTTTAACGAGAAGTAAACAATATCAAAATCAATCATATAACATTAATAAGTTTTGTGAAATAATAAACTAAGTAATAAACAACAAACAAATCTTAAATTTATTTTTACAATAAATTGAATTAATAATAATACAAGAAGAAAATTTGTTGAGACATTAAAGTTAGAATCATGTAAAGATGGTGCAGTGTGTTTGACACATTTAAAATATTAGGTAATGAAAGTATAGTCTACTACATAATTTTAAAACAAAAAATTGAAAAAAAACAAAACAACTTACATGTCCATTTCCGCTTTGACATGCCCTAAACTTAAAAGTTGAAACAATACTTTTTGCCATGGCTAATTGATGCCTGAGAAAGTATTACAGTTTAAACTGAATAGATTTAAATATATAGTAAACTAATTAATTTTATTAGCTATACAATTATGTTACTTATATTAATTATGTTATTTATAATAAATTAAATTAATCACATAATATAATTAACATACTTAATGGAACATTTTTATTTTTATTTTTTTTAATTTTTTTTCTCTCGAAGTTTTACATCCATGTTTCCACACTAGTGTGGTTTGGATGGTTCTACAAAGTGACATAAATGCCACTATGTAAGAGTTGAAGCAATTTTTTACAACCGGATGCCCTTCCTGACGTTAACATGAAACAGGTTGTACTGGATTTCATGTTACCAGTAGCAGGATAACCTAACATACATATTTTAGTAAGATAATTATGTAATCATGTATTATAATTATATACTTTTAAATAATATTATATAACTTACTTTCCGAAGCAATCAATTAAGTAAGAGCATGCTACTTTGACAAGAAGACGATGCAAGCGATCATCCATTACAGCTTTTTGTGCCTCAATAATGATGCTATTTTTTAAAGGATGATTTTCTATTGCATCTGTTATTGACACAACCTAATAGAAGAAACCAATACAGAAGTTTTTGAATTAATCAACTAGTCAAAGAGTATAACGCTGTTGCAACTATAATCTTCTAACAAACATATTACATTTTAATTCAAAAACTGACAAGAAATATTTATACTAATTGAAAATTAAAAAAATATCTATATAACCTAAATAAAATATAAAAATATATTTAAAAAAAATCAACAATAAAATAAAAAAAATGTTAAAATATAATAAAATATTAGGTACCATCTTTTTTTGACCACATGACTTGGTACATGCAATGGGAGTTACCACAGATGTTTCTATTGTGCATCATAAAGTAAATCATATAACAAACTGTTACTATTTGCATGTCGCATCAATAAAAAATGACAAAAAATGAAATTTGTGTACTAAAAATAAATTGTATTAACATACCAATAAGGTCCACATTTTGCGAATGAACAGGTTTAGAATTTGAAGTTGCTAAAGCTGCTTCTAACTTACGTCTCAAAAGAGGAGGTAGTACATTAGGCAGGTCTGTTTCAATGTTTAAAAACAGCAAATCTTCCATTGAACTAGCACCTAGCTCTACCAAATGAGGCAGGAGACGATTAATATCCTCCACTGGAAGAACTTTACTTAAGAAGTTGTTAATTTCCTCCATTATTATAAAAAAACTTTACTAAAAGTAAGAAAATCAAAGAAAATCAATAAACATTATCCATGTTTGAACAAAATTGCCTATTAACCTTATTATTGCCTATTAACATTATTAATTGCCTATTAATATTATTAACCTAAATACATAATTTCAAAATAAATTCAAAATTTAGAAAAACAAAAGTTGGTAAATATTTCATTATCTTAATTTTGTTTCATTAATAACAAAATCAAATCAATATCAAAACTAAAAAATTATGTTATTATATCCAGGCTAATATATTCATGTCTTGTTATAACAAAACTTTCATCAGAATAATTTCTGAAGCCAGTTGACAACGGACAACGACAGTACATGAGAATCAAATAAATTATCTATTTTAACAGCTGTATATTTAGATGTTTTACATACATTATAGCCAGCAATATGAGCATCATAGTGTATGGTAAAAAGACTTTCAACTATAAGTGTGCATTCGTTTTCAGGGACAAGTAGATATAGAATCTTTCCGAAACGTGGGAGACAAAGTTTGGTTAGCCCTAAAACTTAAATAAAGTCTGGCATGTACTTTACACCATCTGTGATTACATAATTTGAACAAAAACATTCTTCATACAGTGGAATTTCACCAAAAACAGCCACTGGCAAAGGTAAGCAAGCAGGCATAATTTCAATACCAGGACCTACTTCTGCACTGAGTATACTTGCAAAATTTGACAAATCAAGATGTAATTGTATTTGCTGATGCCATGCAATACTTTTGCAAACATTTTTAAAGTTGTGCAAAATGTGACATTGCTCCTTTGCAGGAGCATGTTTTCCTTCAAATCGCATACACCAATAATTTGGTGAAGGACCTAGTTGTAAAATTTTTGAAGGATAATGGACAAGAAAATGTTGTTTTGAAATAACAGTATGTCCAGAAAATATTTTTCTAAACAACTTGTGATGCTAATGACCTCTGTTAAATAAGTTATTAAATGAACAGTCACTTTTGGAGCAAAGGTTATTCCACATATTTCCAATAATAAATGAATTAAATGAAAGTACTGGTTATCAGTATCTACAACATCACCAAGCAACAAACAAAAAAATCTTCCGAAACACCAACTTTATGTTGCATTTAAACCTAACCTTTTGTCTTTAGAAACAAGTTTTTCACGTGTTATTTGCAACGGCCTATTTTTCTTATCAATGCCAAAATTAAAGGTTTGCAATCGACCATTGAATTCCTCAATGGTCAACAGGTAATCAATTAGTAATAAGCGATGAAGAACTATTTTTAATTCATACTGTAAGCAACCCTCAAGTATGTCATGCATTGAATCTGGGCAAATATTATCAGGAACAGAAAAATACTGAAGCTCTGACAATGGATTTTGTTTATATACACCAGATAATTTATTATTATTAGCTTCACTAAAAAGTGCTTGACAATCTGCAATGTGACGCTCTTTAGTTCTTAGGTCTAGATCTTCTTCATAAAAAGTGTGTTGTATTTGTTCTTTTGTTGTATAGCAGTAATGACAGCTCTTGTTGGCAATAAAGTTTGAACTAAATCCAAAAATTTGGTGCATTGCAAGATTGTCCCCAGACCACATAACTACTGCACCATATATGCAAATGTAATTTCCATTTATATACAATTTAACTCCCTTCTCTAGAGCTACCAAGTCTTTTATTAATGGCTTTAAAAGCTTTTCATATCCATACTTTGCAACATCAGCTGAAAAACAATAAATTACAGGATATATGTTAGTCAATTTAGAGCATTTCTTTATGTTAACATTTTTGATGGACAAATAAACTGCACAAACTTTGTGAACTTTAGTTTTTGATCCTAAAGGATTTACTGTTTCAAATCATCACATTATAGTTGAAGCTGTAGAGCATCTGGATGTTTCTTGTATAAAGGATGATTCTTATATTGTTCTGCATCACTATAACAAGTTAATTTATTTAATTTTGTTAAAACGTTATTATCTATTTTGTCAACAGAGTACTTTGAAATCACCATAGAAATGGTTTCTAGAATAGAAATATACTGCATAGTTTCATTTCGATAACTCATTACATTATTTTTATAAACTTTATGAAGCATCTCAGATCTGAACCCAACAGTTATTTCAATAGGTGCAACCATCCCTTTTTGTTGCAAGTGTTTTGTTTGCAGGTAACTAGATGTAATTAAACTACACTTTACACACTCACATTCAATATCATTTAGGACATCACTTACTCTGCCAGCATCTGTTTCATCATTTTGAATTGTTTTTTGTACACTTTCAATAACTGTGGATAAAATATTTTGAATACTTTTACCTACATACTGAATTATAACTTCACTTGTGTTACGACATCTTAGAGTCATTAAAACATCTAAAATCATTTCTTTTATCTTTTCCCCATTTAACTCACTTGAAAAAATAGTATTTCTGTTATCTTTATCAATATGTGCTGCTGTATAAATACCTAGCTGATCCATTAGCTCGCCATTGCTTTCCATAGGAGAAATATTTATATCGTTATATTCCAAATGAGGGTCAATTGGATGCTTTCTATATAAATGAATTTTAAGGGAATGGACACTGTCATATGTTCTGCAACAGCCACCTTGTCTACAAGAAATTTTACAATTTTGAGTTGAAGTAATACCATGGCGATAATGAAAATGTTTTAAAAGATCACTTACAGCCTTCAATGATACTAAAATAGACTCACAAAAAACACAAAAATAACCCATTGTTAATACTTAACAGTGATGAAAAAAATTTTAAGTAATTAACTACAAACTAAAAATTATTAATCTTGATTCAAAAAAGCTGTCCTAAAATTTTTAAAAATCTATTTGAAATAGTACTAATTCCATGAGGTGTTAAGCATGCGTATTATGAGAATTCCTCTACACAAGTCTTGTGTTAGCAAGAAAATAACAAATAATTTTTGTTTGCAGGTAACACATGCGCTTTTGAATAATATTTTTATAATTTAACACAAACTTGTGTTTAACGGAAGCAACACAAGATCAAGTGTTGATTTTCATCACAAGGTTTTTTACAGTGTATATATATATATATATATATATATATATATATATATATATATATATATATATATATATATATATATATATATATATATATATATATATATATATATATATATATATATATATATATATATGTATATATATATATATATGTGTATATATATATATATATATATATATATATATATATATATATATATATATATATATATGTATATATATGTATATATATATATTTATATATCTATATATATATATTTATATATGTATATATATATATATATATATTTATATATATACTTTATGTATTTATGTATATATAGACATACATACAGTGAAAAAAACAAAAATTTCCCCCTATTTTTTTAAAAATAGTTGATGCTGATAGTAACTATGGCAATCTATTAGTCATATGTCAATTAAAAATCATGTTTTTGTTCATGAAAATGTTTTTCATAAGTGTCAAGAAATTATACACAAAGTAAGCGTATCGAACTTACCATATACAAAATGAGTCCACCAAAAGATCCTAAAGGTAGACCAGTTATTGCTGGAATTAACTCACCAACATCACATTTAAGTCAGTTCTTACATATAATTTTATCTCCAATTATAACAAAGCAAAAAACTTTCAGTAAAGATGATTGGGATTTCTTAAGAAAAATGCCAAGAGCATTCAGACAGTTATATTTTGGGATGTTACATTGCCAATCTATATACTAGTATTACACACAACCTAGGTTTGAAAGCTTTAAAGTTCTGGATCATAAAACATAAAAATTTAATAAATGAAAAATTCATTTTTTAAATTTATTATGGAATCAGCATCTTTTATTTTAAATAACATTGACTTTTTATTTAACAACCAAATGTTTCACCAAATTACAGGAACAACCATGGGTACTAACTTCGCTCCAGATTATGCTTGCCTCACAATCTGTAGTTTAGAAGAAACAAGACATTTTTCTAAAATTTTACCTAAATAATTTTCCAGCAAAGAAGTTAATGACATAAAAATTTTTTATAGATATTCAGGGCTTGAAATAACAAACTTTTTTGTACTGGACAATTTGTCCAATAAAGACTCAAGTTTGCCGGACATGTCCAAGAAAAATTAAAGAAGTGCGATCGAACGCCATTCCTAACCATGTATAAAATATTTTGTTTTTACAACTTGGTTACACAATTTGTAAGATAAATTATCTAACAAAAAGAAAGTCCTAATAAAAAAGAAATCTAAGCTCAAAAAACTAAAATTTGAAAAGGATAATATATTTATAGTATGTTTTTAAAAAATTACTAGGCTAAAATAATTGCTATGTAAATATATTAAATCAGGAATGCAGAGTCCCAAAAAGGGTTCCAGATTTGCAAGTCACAAAAAGATTACTTCTTTCAAGTTTTTGATATCCAGTAGCTTTAAAAATATAAAAAAAACTTATGGGCTACTAATGGGGAAAAAATCAAGACTTATAGGTCAGAAGAACAATTAATTTTTGAACCCGAAGTCCTCAGGTATAATGGTGGCAAGGACTCCAGGACTCCAGGATTAAAAACAGTAAGTTCCAAATCATTAAATATCATAACTTTTTTTTCTTATAGCAGATCATTAATCAACCAACATGTTTAGAAAAATTTTTTTTATTTTATTTAAATTATCAAAGAATATTATACAATTTTTTTTATAAATCTTATCAAACTTTTTCTAGGATTAATTTTATAAAGACTTTAAATAGCGAAAATTGTTAGCGCGAAAGCAAAAGTTAAATAACAACTCAAATTTTATAGTGTAATAAAAAGTACTGGTTTCTATAAGCATTAAAATAACTATTACGTTAAAATTTTAAAAAATAAATTTAAGAGGTGTTTAAAAAGCTAAAATATTTGTTTGAAATTTATAAAAACCATCAGACAAAAATAAAATAAATACTAAGCTATAAACTTAAAATAATAACTAATTGCAACGTTTTAATATAAATGATAAAAACCGCCTACTTAATTAAAAAAATTGAAATGCTTTGGCGTCTTTTAAAAAATGAATTATTCTATCAAAAAAAAAATTTATATATATTTTCATTAAAAAAATGACGTATTTTATTAACGTAGCCGCGTGTTCAACTTCAATTTTATTTTGTACAAAAAATAAAAAGTTCAAAAAATAAAGTTTATAAACAATACTGAATTTATTAATAATTTTGGAACAATTAAAATGATTAGAAAATAAATGCACATAAAGTATGGGTCAGACAAAATGACAAATTGATAATTTTTACCAAACAAGTGCGGGACAATGTGTGATGTCCGATACTTATTTCGAGCCCTGGATATTGATAGTTTCATCATCTGGCCAAACCATTTGGATATCATCAAGTTAAAAAATTCACTAACCGAACTAGATAATACAATCGTGGTATGTAACTTCCACAACAGACCTGGGCATAGAATTTGTAAACAATGGTAACATTAAAGATGGTAAGCACTTGTAAACACATTTAATATTAGTTTCTAAGATTATATTAATTATTTCCTATATTAATCATTCTTGAAAACAGCAATAAAATAAAAACTAACATATATTATAAAGAAATCAGTACTCATGATTACTTAAACTACAACAGCCATCATCCGTTTAGTTTTTATGACCCTACAAAGTTTACAGCCCCCTCAAATTGAGGGGAGTTAAAACTTAATATAGTCATAATTTTCAAAAAATAAGAGATTATTGCATGAATTTATAATTTATCGATGAATATAATCTTAGATAAAAATACTAAAGAAATTATTTTATAAACTTGTTGCTCCCACGTTAAGGGCTGGGTGTGCCCAAAAATTGGGGTTTTTTGTCCCCAAGCTCCAATCACTGCAACTCTTTGCAAAACATTCTCATTTGACATAAGCATGAACATACTAAAGTTTGGAGTTTGCACAATGCCTGTAAGTGTCAAAACTCAAACATATAAAAATCCAGTGTACACCACTGCTATTATAGAAAAATAAAAAGTTTGATTTTGAAAATTACAGCAAAACAAAGTTTTTTTTAATGTTTCTGAAGTTTGTTTGTAAAATTCAACTTTATTTTAGTTTATTAAAGGTTGAATTTTTTTTTGATTATTATGTAATTTTTATCCTATTGTATTTTTTGGACTGAATGTATTTACCATGTATAAACATCCAACACATTTAACATGCACTAACACTCAATTAAATGTATAAAATTATCGATCATAGAGATAAGTAAATTCATCCACATCTTAAACTTAAGATAATTGGTTTACTAAATATTATAGTAAGATAAATTTGATTCCAGATGCTTTTCTAATCTAAGATGCATCCATTTTGCTGCAAACATTAATCTATTTATGTAAGCTGCTTCTGTTTGTTTCAAAGTTTTGTCATTAGTGTTATTTTTGTAAATTAAACAATTCCTATGGGTTTTGAAGTATTTCTTTTATAATTATTATGTAATGTATGACTGCGCTATGGGATACATAAAGTGAATATTTTTTAGTTGAGGAAAAATGACTTTATTTCCATTTTGTCCTAAACAAAAAAACTTTTTTTAGTCTTTGTTGTTATTTCTACAAATAATTTTTTTAAGGGTTTTTTTCCAACACCTTGTGGTCCTGAATCAATGTTTACTTTAATGGATGAGAAAGACTTTTGTACTGAAAATGATCGTAAAGTAAGTCAATTACAATACTAATGCTAATTATTTTGTTTTTTTTATCTTTTTTATCAAGCAAATTTAATCATACTTATGTTCTAGTTTTTACTTCATTTTGATATTCAGTTTTTTATTATTATTTTGATTTTTTGTCTAAAATCATCACTATTACTATAATTAAAACTTCAATAAAAAATAAAATCATAAGTTTTTAATCAAGACTAATATTTTATATTTATTTTTTGTTTGTTTCGTTGTTTACACCAGCTTAAGCAACTTGATTGTAACTTTTTTTATTAATGATTTTTATTGATTGTTTTTATTATTATTATTATTATTATTATTATTATTGTTATTATTATTATTATTATTATTAAACCCACGTTTTGATTAACTCTGTCTTTAACCTATCCTTAATTAAACAAAATTGTCTTCTCTATAAAAATTATTTTTTCTTTTTACTATGATGAACAATTAAACAAATGTGTGAAATTTTGAAACAGAATGAAAACAAAACAAACAAAAAAAAGACAACAATAAAATCAATTAAAAATAGCAAGCATTAACAAGTCAATATAGCTATAAATTAGTTTATTTTAAGAACAAAATTTAAGATGATAGTTACAAAGTATGTGTAAGAAAATAATAGCAAGTATATAATAACATAAATAAACTATACTAAAAGAAAATAAACTATACTAAAAAACAAACAATAGAAGAACGATTTTTTAAAAAGCCGAATCACAAGCTGCAAGAGAAAATGTGTTCCAATTGAAAGTATGACAGCCTTTTAAAAAAAGTTTAATGAGACATTTTTTAAATACAACTGTAATGTATAAAATTCTGCATCCTTCAATTGCAACACACAACATTTTATCTTATAGACAATTCAGTAATAATGTAATTTTTTAATTTAGTTTAATTACTATGCATTGGATGGTTCATTAATCATAGGACTTTTGGAAGATGGTCTACACAGTTTGCCAGGTAATGAATGTTAAACTTAAGTATTTTAAAATATATTTTTACATGCTTGTGGTAGGATACAACTATAATTATATAACTTATCATGTGTCATTGTACGGAATACTGATATCATATATAGGCTGGTTCTTCTAATGATGCTCTTTCTCTTCCAGAGAAGGTCCAAATGCACATTGTAAATGTTGTTGGATCTGCTTTATCTTCCAAGCTTGAACATCTTTGTTGAATCTCTCTTTCTTTTCTACAAATAATATTATGGTTGCTGCTCAAATAAGCTATCATCTCTAGTTCCATCAACTAAAATTAATTTTAGTTTGACTCTTTTATCAGCAAAGTTATATTATTTTAGTCCCTGCATGCTCTAAAATTTATTTTAGCAAAATTATATTATATTAGTCTCTGCATGCTCTAAAAATTTTCATTTGTCTAGTTTTTTTCCATGCATTTCAATACTTTAGAAATCTCTCCCATCTTCATGTTTTCCTTACTCATACAACAAATGACTTTTTAAGTCTTCCATCAACCATTTCCTTACACTTTAAATCTCTTCTTCTTTTTTTTCTAGTAGCTCCTAATTTAATAGTAGTTGCTTGCAACCTTGTTGGAGTGAATTCAAATTAAAAAAAAAATTAAAAAAAAAAAGTAAAAATGTTAGCAATAAATTATATCAATCTCATAAAATAACAATTGATACACTAAAATTGATTTTAAGTTGATAATATTAAAAATATTAGTAACCTAACAATATTACTTGTTTTTGTTTGGAAATTTGTCTGAGTTTTTTAGCTATGTACTTTGTCACTGAAATTTATTGAAATCTTGGAGGATTTTTTTATTGCTTTTTTTTTCATTTGCACATGTAATTGAGATAGCAATATTAAAAAACTAAAAATTAAACTCAGAAAAATAAAATCTTTTCTGAATAAAAACATTTTTCTGATAACACATATAAATGAGGTGAAAATTTATTCTGCTTATCATTGAATTGGGTTTATCAGTTTTAGGGATATTTATAGTTGCTTTTTAAATGAAAAATGGATCTTGATGTTGCAAAAAATTAATCTTTAATGATTTTTATAAAAAAACATCAAGAGTTAAGTGAAAAAATAAATGTTTGGAAGTTAGAATCAAGTTTTTGAATCTGTGAAAATTGCACAAAAATGTTTAAAAATCAGAAATAATGGTTCATTTGATGTATTTTTTATTAGGTAACTTAGTTTAGACCATTGGCTTATGTATTCAAGACTTCTAAAAAAACCCCATTCTAATCTAATGTTATTCAATGCATTTTAACTGTTGGTTCTTATATACAATCCCTGCAGTTATCTTAAAAATTATTTGTTTGAGTGATATTCCTAAATACACTGAATAAATTTGATTGCTTTTATTAACAGATCAGTAAGAATTTATTAACAGTTGCATTTGTCTATCTCTGCTTGCATCTCTATCTCTGCTTGCATCTCTATCTCTGCTTGCATCTCTATCTCTGCTTGCATCTCTATCTCTTGCATCAATTTGTTTTAACTCTCTTAAAAAGACTTTAAAACCGATATTCATTTAGAATTTTTAAGTAAATAAACTTTTAAGTTCATTTACTTAAAAACTCAGATGCCCCCTGCAAGCAATCAGAGGGAGTTGGCTTTTTATCGTGACAAGAATAAATGGTAGTATCATCAGCGAACAATGCCACCTTAGATGTGAGAATATCTGGAAGATCGTTAATGTAAATTAAAAAGAACATAGGGCCAAGGATTGAACCTTGGGGAACCTCTGAGGCTACAGAATAAGAAGAAGAGTGCTGTCCATCAAAGACAACTTTTATACTAATATTGGAAAGAAAGGATTCAATAATCTTAAAGATGTTTCCAGATACACCGTAAGAATAAAGCTTATGGAGGAGACCAGCTTTATCAAACGCTTTAGAAATGTCAAGAGCAATGGCCTTAACCTCTCCACCTTTATCTAATGCGCAATAAAACCTATCAGTTATTACTGTTAGCAAATCAGCTATAGAACGAGAAGATCGAAATCCATATTGATGATCAGAAAGTAGGTTATGATATTCGAGATGAGAGAATAAGTGTTTGTTAATTAAAGATTCAAAAACCTTGCTTGTGATAGGAAAAAGACTAATGGGGCAGTAGTTAGACGAATCAGATCGCTCTCCAGAATTTTTAAAAATAGGGATAACAGATGCTGCTTTCCAGCAGGCTGGAAAACAAGACTCTGATAAGCACTTGTTAAATAGTTTTGAAAGGATATATGACAGCTCCGGAGAACACTTCTGCAAGACTATAACAGGTATGTTGTCCGGGCCGCAAGCTGTAGAAGAGTCTAAGCGGGAAATCACTTTAGATACAGAAGCTGGTGTGATACAAATGTCGAGCAATGGATCAACCTGTTTGACGGCTATATCAGGTAGAACGCAACTAGTGGCATCAAGAGATGATATTGATGAAAAGTTCTTGGCAAACAATTCAGCTTTGTCTTTAGGTGAGGTGACAAAGTCTGTACCATACAAAAGAGGTGGAATTACAGACTTGCCCTTATTATTGATACTATTAAAGATTCTCCAGAAGTCACAAGAGCCTAATTTTTGTGATGAAATACGAGAATTCATGATCTGAGAATAGCGGGCTTTGGCGTTAGACAAAACCTTTTTACAATGTTTCCTAGCAGTAATAAACAGACGTCTGTTTTCTGGAGAATTGTTTGCTGATAGATATGGAAGTAATGGTTTCGATTGGCAATTGCAGCAGCACAATGTGAGGAAAACCAAGAGTGAGGCTTGACCTGGAATTGTCGCGAGGGAATAAAGGATTCCATGCCAGCCTGAATCCACGAAGTTATGTAAGAAGCACATTTGTCAACAGGGAGACAAAAGATTTCTACCCAAGGCCCATCACAAAGAAAATCACAGAAAGAGTCCCAGTCAGCTTTAAGGTAGTTGTAAGATGTACAATGATAGGGGGATTCTGATGGTAAAGAATGAGATAATAGTTTTTAAGAGACCAAACCATGATCAGAAGCACCTAAGGGTGAGTGTGAAGAAACTGAGCACTTACTGGGATCAGAAACAAGACATAAGTCGAGTAGAGAAGGTAAATGATTCGGGTTGTCTGGAAAGCGAGTTGGAAAGTTGACTATTTGAGTTAGGGATTGAGAAAGACAAAAGTTGTAAGCCTTAATGCCTGCAGAGTCACTGACACTAGAGCCAAGCCATTCAGTGTAATGAACATTAAAGTCACCGACAACAACAATATTGGCTGATGGATAAAGAATGAGGGCTTGGTCAATATAATCAGAAATAAAATCAAGAAGAGTGCAGTCTTGAAATGAAGGAGAGCGATATAGAACAAAGAGAAAGGTGATAGAGTGAAGTGGTGCTAAACGAAAGCACATAAAAGAGTAGTCTGTGGATTCAAACCTAGTTTCCCGACAAATGGGTGAATTCCTACGAATGTAAATGCCCAGGCCAAGCATGTGACTATTGGAGTCTTTACGAATTAAAGGAAGATAACCATCTACACTAAGATCACAAGATGAGACAGCTGAACTCAAATTAGTCTCACAAAGAGCAAGTAGGTCTGGTGAACTTTGCAAGAGATAAGACTCAACAGAAGAAAAGTTACTTCGAAGACCACGAATATTGGTGAATGATAGGTTTAGCGAACTTGGTGATGACTGTGGTTTTTTGTGTTTTATAGTTTTTGTTGCTTTATTCATTTTTAAATTTGCTAAAGAACTTGACTCGAAACATAGATAGGACTCAGTACACTGCTTTATAGCTCAAGCAATTGCCTCATTTCCACTAATAAACCCTAAGCTGTAACAAAGGGCTCCAATGTGGCCTTGGCAATGCACACCAAAAGTACTAACAGGGACACCATCCATGCGCAACATGGCACTGTTAGTACTCTGATATTTTTCAGCTGTTGATGGAATCAGCCTCTCTGAGAGCTATCACAGAGTTCGGGAAACCTGACTACCGGCCGGCCTCAGAACCATAAAACTGAGTTTTAGAGCTGTACCCTCATTTGGAGATAATAGAATGAGTTGCCTAGTCATAAAAACAGAGACACAAGCAAAACCCATGAATCGAGTCAAGAAGATCCAGCGTTCAACATCCTAAACTGGAAACAATGTAATACAAATACATCTGAGCCAGCCTAATAGATGAAGAAGGGGTGCGAGGCTGGTCAACAGATAGAATCTGTTTACCCCTTAAGATATATTTGCATAACGTGGTAAATAATGGGAAAAAACACATCTGTAAATTTTTTTAAAATTTCAAAATAATCGTCTAAAGGTCGCCATCTTGAAAAATGGTGTTTTTCACACTTTTATCAACTTTGAATTTTAATAAAATAAAAAATAATTTATTTTATGTTATGTTACTTGGTGTATTTAAGATTATCAAATTAACATTTGGCCAAATTTTCAAAAAGATTTGGTTAATTGTTAAGTGGTTTATCTAGAAGTCGCCATATTAAGCGATTAAGTTTTATAGTCACCATAAAGTTTTACTTTTTGACATTTTTTTCAACAAAAAGTTGTTCCTATAGACTTAATGGCTTTAAAGAAATTGTTCTAATGTATGCAAATATAAATTTTCGAGCATAATTGACTACTAAAAGTTGTTCCTATAGACTTAATGGCTTCAAAGAAATTGTTCTAATATATGCAAAATATATTTTTGAGCATAATTGACTACTAAAAGTTGTTCCTATAGACTTAATGGCTTCAAAGAAATTGTTCTAATGTACGCAAAATATATTTTTGAGCATAAAGGTTGTTGAGTGATTAAATTATTTGCATCAAGAAATAAATATTTATATTTATGTATATAAAACTTCATAAACTTAATTTTTAAAAGTTAGATGTTATATCAATTAGAATAATAGTTTTAAAACTAGTTTATTAAGTAGGTGAGTATTATATTATGATGTATCTTAGAAAACCAAGATTGGTTAATTAGTTACTTTGAACCGGATAACTAGTCA